TAAACGTTCAGCAACTAAATACATGGCAATAAAAAATTATAACGGTAAATTTGAGAGAATGTACCTTCACTACTGGAAAAAATTAAACAAACAATCTTCATGAATTTTTTAGTGATTTTCGAAAAGCTGTAACTCGGTGAAAAATGGTTTTAGCGATATAATAAAAAGAAAACACTTGAATCTTTAAATCTCTAGTTTCAAGATCTATAGACAAAAATTTTTTTTCAGCCACGGTAATCCAATAATAATAAGAAATACATTGAGAAAAGAATTTTTTAATTTTTCAAATTTTTTTAATTTTTTTTGGAAATTTTTTTTCTGACACGAGAAAATATTGAAAATCAATACTATAATGATTGTGTGTAAATTGATAACGAGATTTAGGTTGGGGTATCAACTTTGCACTTAATGCAGTTAAATAAAGATTAATAATAATTATGGTAAGCAAATGTCGAATCGTACAGCAGCTTTTCCAAAAGAAAGAAATATTTAAAAATTGAAATTTTTTTTGAGAATTTTCTGAATTTTTAGTTTTTCTTAAATTTAAACTATGTATATCTATTGTGTTAAAATTCGAGAAAAATTATTTTTCAGTTTGATGATGATTACATAATGTTTGGGAGAAATACACTGTAAAAAAATCGGTGTGAGTGAGAGTAATGAAGGTTCGGAGTGAATCAATGGGGAAGTTGCACAATTTTTTTTCTTTTCTTATTAAATTCCTTTCATCGTAAAAAGTCAATTGCCACATAAATTTTTAATTTTTAATTAATAGTTTTCCTAAAAAAAAATATAGAAATTCAAAATAATTCTCTATGCACTAAAACGCAGTCTTAAACAAAGACGGCTGACTCTTACGTCACGATCCGGTATCGGTCCAAACTAAACGAGTCGTGTAGAGTCGTGTTCTGTAGTCTGTCTCACTCTTACTGATTTGTGTTTATGCAAACTACGTGTGCCAGATATATTTTTATATTATTTACTTTTACTTAACACAATATTGTTAATTATTTTAAAAACTGTACATTCTATGGCTACAGAAGCTTTGCTTTGCCGAAAATAGATGTTCTATAAAATATGTTTCACCATTTCCTCCTCATTTTCTCATCCTTTGGTACATTAAATAGTTTGTTGGGGGCAGTTATTGTTGTGGAACTACACATCGGTATTATAATATTTATTATAANTTAGTTACATTGTAAATTTTAATGCAAATATCAGGTATTAGTCAGTGTTTACCTGATTTGTGACTTAAACCCACAAAACTTTTATTATTGTTCCAACATTTAATTGTCAACAATCTTTAAACGTTCAGCAACTAAATATATGGCAATAAAAAATTATAACGGTAAATTTGAGAGAATGTACCTACACTACTGGAAAAAAATAAACAAACAATTTTCATGATTTTTTTAGTTAGTTTCGAAAAGCTGTAACTCAGTGAAAAATGGTTTTACCGATACCTATAATAAAAAAAACACTTTGAAGCTTTAAATCTCTAGTTTCAAGATCTATAGACCAAAAATTTTTTTCAGCCACGGTAATCCAGTAATAATAAGAAATACATCGAGAAAAGAATTTTTTAATTTTTCAAATTTTTTTAATTTTTTTTGGACATTTTTTTTTCTGACACGAGAAAATATCGAAAATCAATACTATAATGAATGTGTGTAAATTGATAACGAAATTTAGTTTGGGGTATCAACTTTGCACTTAATGCAGTTAAATAAAGATTAATAATAATTATGGTAAGCAAATGTCGAATCGTACAGCAGCTTTTCCAAAAGATAGAAATATTTGAAAAATTTTTTTTTTTAGAATTTTCTGAATTTTTTGTTTTTCTTAAATTTAAACCATGTATATCTGTTGTGTTAAAATTCGAGAAAAATTATTTTTCATTTTGGTATTGATTATCTACATAATGTGGGAGAAATACACTGTAAAAAAATCGGTGTGAGTGAGAGTAATAAAGGTTCTTAGTGAATCAATTGAATGAGTACCTACATTTTCACTCAATTTTTTTGCATTTTGATCATTTCACTCATTTGTGATTATATTTAAACTAAAACTGAGTACTTTCACTCAAATATCTCCTTAAATAAATTCTTCACGTAAACTCGTATTTGGTGCACTTGGTAACCTAACCTAAATCAGAGTAAATGTTCTCATTACTGAGTGAGTTTAGATACTCCAGAAAAGCGTGATCGCCAGGAGAACAGGCCTTAGCCGGCGGCGTCTGGTCTCAGCTGGCGGGTCTCAGCTCAGGTCTCAGCAAGGACAGGAGGTTAGTTAATTAAAAACCAAGTCTGAGTAAAAAATTACTCAATAATAATTAAATTTGAATCATATTAAAGAAAAAGTCAACTCTAAGTTGGTTTTATATACTCAAAATAAAGTCAAAAGTCGCTCAATTGATAGTTAGCAGTAACTCGGATTTGAGTAAAACTCACTCATTTCTGATGCAATAGTTTCATTCAGTTGTAGGTTCTCATACTAATAGAGTGAAAATTTCACTCAATCGGGTGTGGACAGAAATTGATTGTTGAATTGAGTAAAATTGAATGAAATTTGAGTGAATTTTTTTTACAGTGTAATTTCTTGCAGTTATATCAAAGATTAAAGACAAAAGTGTTATTCTTCCTTCAACCAACGATATCTCGGCAACCAACAACCAACAGTCGCACGGAAACCTTTCAGTAATCAAATTGAATCTGAATAAATTTTATCTCTAAAAAATTTTTGTCTAAAGATTGAAACTAGAGATTTAAAGCTTCAAAGCTTTTATTAGGTCTGTTTCTGCAGCAGTTGAGGACTGATTTGAAACTATCAGATATTTAACCAAGTGATTCGTAACTTTCTACTCGCTGAAAGTACGGGACAACTTAATTGGTCGAGTATATCTGATAGTTTGAATACAGTTTGAGACTGCTGCAGAACAAACCTGTTATCTCGATACGACCATTTTTCACTGAGATACCTACAGCCTTTCGAAAATCGCTAAAAAATTCATGAAAATATTTTGTTCCTTTAATTTTTTCCAGTAGATAGTGTACTTTGACCAATGTATTGTTATTCCCAGTTTTTAAATTTAAAGAATCGATTTTATTTTAATATATATATATTTTTTTAATTTAATATATCAACTTCTTCAGCTCAGATTACGAGATTATTTAATTTTTCACTAATGGCCCCTACCCACCGNTCTATCTGCCCTCGAAGTTTCCTGCATAAAGTTCGGACCACCCTGTATATATATATAATAAATATATAATAAAATTAATGAAACTTGTCTTTAAATTTATACACTAAAACTAACTACTCCAAACTACTCAGAATTCAATGCGAACACAAACTATACACAAGATTAAATGACAGCAATGCAATCACAGCGCCAGCCTCCCGCGTCTCGACAGTCTTAATACGCATATACCGGATCCTGACGTCACAAATTGCTTGACCAATTAGGGACCGTTTTCGCCCACCTAATTATATTCAATATTTCAATAATTAATCACATTTTAATAGTTAAGTTTAAAGGGGTTTTACATATAGAAACATACTTTTATAGTAATTTTCGACATTTTAAATAAATTTTGCTTCAAAAAAAAATTTGATGCAACTTCCTTATTGAGTGAAATTATTGAGTATGTACATTTTCACTCAATATTAGGCATTTTGATCATTTTACTCATTTGTGATCATATTTAAACTAAAACTGAGTACTTTCACTCAAATATAGGTACTCCTTAAATAAATTCTTCAGGTAAACTCGTATTTGGTGCACTTGTACCTAAATCAGAGTAAATGTTCTCATTACTGAGTGAGGTTAGATACTCCAGAAAAACGTGATCGCCAGGAGAACAGGCCTTAGCCGGCGGCATCTGGTCTCAGCTGGCGGGTCTCAGCTCAGGTCTCAGCCAGGACAGAAGGTTAGTTAATTAAAAACCAAGTCTGAGTAAAAAATGACTCAATAATAATTAAATTTGAATCATATTAAAGAAAAAGTCAACTCTAAATTGGTTTTATATACTCAGAATAGAGTCAAAAGTCACTCAATTGATAGTTATCAGTAACTCGGATTTGAGTAAAACTCACTCATTTCTGATGCAATAGTTTCACTCAGTTGTACTCATACTCATAGAGTGAAAATTTCACTCAATCGGGTGTGGACAGAAATTGATTGTTGAATTGAGTAAAATTGAGTGAAATCTGAGTGAATTTTTTTTACAGTGTAATTTCTTGCAGTTATATCAAAGATTAAAGACAAAAGTGTTATTCTTCATTCAACCAACGATATCTCGGCAACCAACAACCAACAGTCGCACGGAAACCTTTCAGTAATCAAATTGAATCTGAATAAATGTGCTAGCTGACCTCTATATTAATTGAATTTGAAAATATTTCTCCATGGACACTCCTAAATAAACAAAGTTTTGTAAAAAAATTTTCCCGAGATATTCTGTTGATTGCTCGATAACTTTATCTCTAAAAAATTTTTGTCTAAAGATTGAAACTAGAGATTTAAAGCTTCAAAATGCTTCAAAGCTTTTATTAGGTCTGTTTCTGCAGCAGTTGAGGACTGATTTGATACTATCAGATATTTAACCAATTGATTCGTAACTTTCTACTCGCTGAAAGTACGGGACAACTTAATTGGTCGAGTATATCTGATAGTTTGAATACAGTTTGAGACTGCTGCAGAAACAAACCTGTTATCTCGATACGACCATTTTTCACTGAGATACCTACAGCCTTTCGAAAATCGCTAAAAAATTCATGAAAATATTTTGTTCCTTTAGTTTTTTCCAGTAGGTAGTGTAGTTTGGCCAATGGATTGTTATTCCCAGTTTTTAAATTTAAAGAATCGTTTTTTATTTTAATATATATATATTTTTTAAATTTAATATATCAACTTCTTCAGCTCAGATTACGAGATTATTTAATTTTTCACTAATGTCACCTACCCACCGCACATTTTTTACGTCTCGTTTCTGTTTCAGCTGGTACCTGTTGGTCAGCCATGGTGCGCAACCACAACGGGCGTTGCACCGAGCTACTCCACGAGAAGATCTCCAAAGAGGATTGTTGTGCAAGCCACTCTGTCACTACATCCTGGTCGGTCGAAGAATTCGACTCTGGCACGCTATTTTTTTGGAGGGTCCTTGGTGGAGGAGTTGCCTGTTCCTCGTGTCGAGGTAGGTAATATGACTTCATTAAACATTAATTTAAAAAAGTTTTTCTCGTCTTTAAAATGCGGTTGGCATGGAGAACTTTCGTCTTGCATGTACAGGGTGATCAGAAAATCGGTAAATATTAAAATTGTTCAAGAATAAACAGCCTTTGTTTTTAATAATACAGAAATATGTTATTAAGAGTTGCTTAGAATTAAAATTTATAACATAATTTAAATTTTTATTCATTTTACGAGAAAAAGACATTTTAAAGGCAGGCAAAAATTTCAAGTCAAGAATCCCTTTTTCTCCTAAAATGAACAATAAAAATGTTTTACTGTCCGTTTCTATCAAAGTAGACCGTTTCATACACAAATTGAAATTATGATAAAAAATTACAGAATTAATTTGATACATACAGGGTGATGAGTAAAAACTGGACACGCTAAATATTACATTTTTTAAATGGAACACCCTGTATATTTTTACATATGGATTTTGGAGAAAATTTTATATATGTCAATATAAACAGTTTATCATTTTAGTGCGGAGTTGCCAAGTTATGTAGAAAATTCTTCTAATTTTGGAAAAAACATGACCTCGAAGAAGTTGTATTAACTTTCAGCTACTAACACTTGGAACAAAATAATTAGACAGTTATGGGCAAATGTTAAACAAAGGCTCCTGTATTAGGTAATATCGATATTTTATACAGGGCATTTTTTATAATACGATCATTTTTAGAAAGTTTAAGCTTGACTTTCTAAAATTTTTCAAATGGAACACCCTGTATTTTATTGTTCTATTTTATTCATATATCGGTCCACTTCAACTTTTATTAAGCATGTTCTATATCTAAAATTGTTAGCTTTCAAAATATAGCAACATTTCTGAAAAAACTTAATTTTTATTATTTTATAGTATACCACAAATAAATATTAACTAATAAAATTAATTAACTAATGGAATGATAAATTATGAACTGACAAGTTGACACAATGTGACAGATTTTTCCAAAGCCATTTCGTGCGATGGAAAATAATAAAAATTTGGTTTTTCCAGAAATGTTGCTATATCTTAAAATCTAACAACTTTAGGTGTAGAACATACTTAATAAAAGCTGAAGTGGACTGATATGTGAATAAAATAGAACAAGTAGGTATATTTGAAAAATTTTAGAAAATTAAGTTTAAACTTTCTAAAAATGATCGTATTATAAAAATGCCCTGTATAAAATATCGATATTAGCTAATATAGGAGTCTTTGAATAACATTTGTCTATAACTGTCAAATATTTTTGTTCCAAGTGTTAGTAGTTGAATTTTCGACATAACTTGGCAACCCCGCACTAAAATATTAAACTGTTTATATTACCATATATAAAATTATCTCAGAAATCCATATGTTTAAAAATACACAGGGTGTTCCATTTAAAAAATGTAATATTTGGCGTGTCTCGTTTATACTCATTGCCCTGTGTGTTTCGAATTGGTTTTGTCGTTTAGATTTTTAAATTTGCACAAGTTTTATATAAACTTCTCTACTGTATTACGAATAACAAGGGAGTTATTTTACTTTCTCACACTAATGGCCCACCCTCTATGTTATTAATGAATCGGTCTACTTTGAAAGAAACGGACAGTAAAACATTTTTATTGTTCATTTTAGGAGAAAATGGCATTCTTGACTTTTGTCATTTTTCTCGTAAAATGAATACAAATTTAAATTATGATATAAATTTTAATTCTAAGCAACTCTTAATAACATATTTCTGTATTATTAAAAACAAAGGCTGTTTATTATTGAACGATTTTTATTTTTATCGATTTTCTGATCACCCTGTACATGCACGATGAACGTTCTCCATGCCAACCGCATTTTAATGACAGGCAAAAATTTAAATCAAGAATGCATTTTCTCGTAAAATGACAAAAATATTTTCACTCTTTTCCAATCTAACCGTGGAGATACTGTATACAATTTTAAATAAAAAATTAACATTTCTGCAAAATTTTAACTTACATTAGAACTTAGTAAATTTTATTAAATTACAATGTTTTGGGCACCCCTGCATGTACAGAGTGATTAACTATATTTTGACCCCGCCCGTTGACTTTTTTGTTTGAAGAGATTATAAAAAATGTGAAATACAAGATTTTTTATGAATTTTTCGAAATTGATATTTGAAAAACAAATAAAATCCAAACAAAATAGCTCAGGATGTTAACTTTGTTAATTTAAATGGAACACCCTGTATATTTGGATAGAACGTTCTCTGTCGAGCACAGTCATATAGGGTTTGTTGGGTCCATCTCCAACAATAAGCGAGATACCATTAAAAAAAGAAAAGAATGTTTTTTATTAAGAAAATAAGATATCTTGTAAGTATTGCTCATTCAGGCACTTCTGCCTTTTTTGCAATTACGTAAGGATTTACAGATTTAGTTGTAATATATTTTGACATATCGGACATTGATAATATGGTCCAAAATACGTATAGGTATTCTAACTAAACCTCACTAATTAGGCCGTGAGAGGCCTAATTACTTATGGACAATATTATATGGTAGGCCGTGACAGTGACAGGTAATGTGATGATAACATTGTTATTGATTGACAGTTTGTATTATTATTTAATTAAAATGGGTTACACAGAAGTAGAAAATTGAAATATTATTAGGAATTAAAATAGAGTATGAAGAAGATATTTACTATATTTTAATTCCTATAATATTTCAATTTTCTACTTCTGTGTAACTCATTTTTATTAAATAATAATACAAACCATCAAACAATAACAATGTCATGAAATTACCTGTCATTGTCACGGCCTACCATATAACATGGTCCATACGTAATTAGGCAGGTCACGGCTTAATTAGTGAGATTCAGTTAAAATACCTATCTATATGCATTTTTAACCATAAGACGAACCCAAAATCGTTATGGAGCGCTGAATTCTTCGATTGTGTGAGGAAAACCCTCGGAGATGATTCAGGAGAAAGCGCCCCAAAAAAAACCCATAACGATTTTCGTTTCGTCTTTTTCGATTGTGCGAGGAAAACCCACGGAGATGAGGTCCGCGTCCAGATTCCGGTGCACCAGGTGTACAGGGGTCGTTTTCGACGTGAAATTTGGATTAAGCGCCCCAAAAAACGCCTCCACAATGATTTTCGAGTTGTTTTTGTCAATCTTGTCAGGAAAATTCTCGGAGATGACGTCCACGTCCAGGTTCGGGCACACCAGGTGTCCGGGGGTGTTCGACTATGGCATATTTGAAATCAGCGACCCAAACAAACCCCGGGCGCCGAGTTTCTCTCCTTCCCCGCGTGATTTGTGGGAGAGTCCCACGGAGATGACGTTCATCGGCGTTCCTGAGTTCCAGGTGTTCGGGGGGTCAATTTGAACATCATAATCGTGATCAGCGACCTCGAAAACCTCCGAGGACCCGATTTGGGCCAGTTCTGATCTGACTCTTATTTACAAAGTTATTAAATCTTCCAAAAGCCGTATCAAAAAATGCATTTTTTGAATGCACTTTTGGCTGCAGCAATGCAATTTCCGGTTTGTCAGAAACACAAAGTAGCAAATTTTTTACAAAAAATTTTTGTAAGAGAATGCAAAAAACCGCATTCCGATCCGTCTTTATGGAAAAAATTCCGAACTTTTGGCCTTTTTAGTGCTTCATTGCCTCGACTATACCGTAATTAGTTCAGTAGAACTTCAGTAAAACGCACTAAAATTTTTGTTGAGGGTTGGCGGCTTTGCTATAGAGAAACTAAATGATTGATCCAAAAGTTCGGAATTTGTTAACTAACATCCTTACTCATAGACTGCATATCAACAGATGATGCAAAATACGGTGTGTTCATTCTTCACTAGGTTTGTTCACTGATTTCCCTTGCAGGTTGCCAACAACAAAAGTATTTAGTGCTTTTTACTGAAATTCTACTGAAGCTAGTTACAAAACGGACTCTGGGCCAAGAAGTGCGATTAGCGAAAACGGGTGTCGACCCGATAAGTGTTTTCTTTATATCTTTCTTTTTCTGTGACTGACCCCAGGCAACTTATGAAATTACTTGTAATGGTGCAATTCAATTAATTATCTTATAAACCCTTTTAATTTCAGATTCCTGTAAGGACGTAGAATGTGGTGTAGATAAAAATTGTGTTGTTCGGAAGGGTATACCAAAATGCGTGTGTTCGTCGAAATGCAAGGAAGGAAAACTACGGCCCAGGGGGGCGGTCTGCGGCACAGATGGACGCAGCTATCGAAATATCTGTAGTTTAAGGAAACAAGCTTGTCGCCGTAGGTCTAGTACTCTCTCGGTGGCCTACAAAGGCTTCTGTCAAAGTAAGTTACCTTTTCTCACAAACGAGAATTATCAGCTGTTAGCTTTGTTTCTCGTGCATTAGAAACAGTTTCCGACAGTCAAAATTTGAACCTTATGTAGGCGCATGCGTCTGAATTGCTCTAGGAACAAAGCTACACAGTCCGGCTATTAAGTTTTGAAACTGATCTTATTGATGAAATTCAGTTATTTTTACGGTCAAAATTACTTCAAACGAACTATTAATAAAAATACGACAAATGGACTAATTTTTAACGGGCGACACTATATAATACAAAAGTAATTGATGTTAATAACAAATATTTTAAAACAATTTAGTATTAATTAATACCGAGAGATCCAGAATGATTGATGGCGCCGCTACTTAAAAATATTTTGTGTGCCGCTCTCCAATTATTTTCACTTTTCTTAGTTGGCAGCACTGACAGTGATTTACTTCGTTCAGTGACGGGTTAAGTGCAGTGGCAATAGGGCACATATTCATTTTAATCACAAAATTACAACACAAAAAGCAGAATGTTGATATTCATTAATTTTAGGGTTTTATTAATTGGTTAAAGGAATGGAATAAATAAAAATCATTTAAATATTATTATTATTAACCTCAAAACTAATATAAGAATCGATTTTTAACATGTTGTTTTTTTTGCGAACTGTGTTTACTTTCCTCATTTAGAAATGCGAATAAAAAATCGCTGTAAATCGATCTTAAATTCTAACATAAACAGAAAATGTTACCTATAAGAAAATTTAAAATAATTGCTATATTAGTTCAAAGTTAAAAAAAGTGAATATGTACGTACTTTTAATTTTGACCAAAATTCTGTCCCTACCAGTAATAATAAATATTGAATAGAAGAATACAAATATTTAATATTTTTTATCACAATTTGTTTATAATGAGTGTTCAAAATGTCGTCTTCTTAAATTGTTAAATACATTATGAAATTCATTTTCTGTAATATTAGCTAATTTACTTATTTATTTTGGCGTCCTTTAGTTCGTCTACTGTGTGTAAACGGTTTACATATATGGATTTTTTTTTAATGTTCCAAACAGATAATAATCTAATACTTAGACAAGGCGAAAACCTCGCATTCGTGGGAGAAATTTTCCGACTCGATTTTTTTGCATATTCAGATTCGTGAGATGTTCCTTAACATGAATCAAGATGATGCCGGCCGGAAATCTGGTGCCCATTTGTTTAAACAAACTTTTTTCAAACAAATTGTAAAAATTGGTTTTTTCACTCCGGATTTTTTTTTAGGTTTTTTGGCACATTATAAACAAAAAAATTCCTGTGCACTATGCCTCTAAAATTGATAGTTTTCAAGTTAAAAACAATTTAAGTTACTAAAAATGCGAAAATGACGATTTTCAACGGCCGATTTCCGGGTTAAAAATTGTTATTTTTGATGTTGCCAGGTACATATATTAAAGTTTAAACATCCCCCTACAAGATGCTGAAGAGTTTTTGGGACTCGCATTATTTTAGAGCCTTGTTTTTTAATTGTTAATAAAACGCCTCTCTCATACGCGGATTAGCTATTTCGCTTAGAGACTTCAGCTTATGTTCTTTGAATTTAGCATTCTAAGTACTATTACTACTCATAAAATAATGTAAAAATTGATTATTTAAATTTCATAATTCATAATAATTTTATTTAATTAAATCAAAATTGTACGAATTGAGTGCAGAAAAAAAAATAAAAAGACAATAGTATCAAATACATTTGATTTTTATTAAAGAACATTTATTTAATACTGCATATTATTATTATCAGACATTTATTCAATCATAAGAATTATCACACTGTCACATAAAGGTACACAAGTGACATAGTTTTTCCTACAAGAACAAGCTTTAGTCTTACAGTTTTTTGTACATTTACATTGTTTAACTAAGTCTTTGTGTAATGGATCTTTCGTAATAAATTTAGGTAATAATTCACCTGTTTCATTTTGATAACCAAAAGCTGTGAAATACAAATGTTGATATTGAGAAAAAAATGGCACAATTAAAAAACAAGGCTTTAAAATAATGAGAGTCCCAAAAACTCTTCAGCATCTTGTAGGAGGATGTTTAAACTTTAATTTAGGTACCTGGCAACATCAAAAATAACAATTTTTAACCCGGAAATCGGCCGTTGAAAATCGTCATTTTCGCATTTTTAGCAACTTAAATTGTTTATAACTTTAAAACTTTCAAGTTTAGAGGCATAGTGCATAGGAACTTTTTTGTTTATAATGTGCCAAAAAACCTAAAAAAATGTCCGGTGTGAAAAAATCAATTTTTACAATTTGTTTTAAAAAAATTAGTTTAAACAAATGGGCACCAGATTTCCGGCCGGCATCATCTTGATTCATGTTAAATTCATTAAAAAATCGAGTCGGAAAATTTCTCCCACGAATGCGAGATTTTCGCCTTCTCTATAAGGGAGTTAAGTCCGGAGATCTTGGAGGTCATAAACCTCGACTAATATTGTAATCGCCATAAAATTCTCTTAGGAACTCCAGTATTGTGTTAACTGTGTGTGTTGTTGCCCTATCTTGAAATAGCCATTGTGCAATTAGTCATCATGTAGCTGATTTAAAAATGGCTGCAAAATGCTTTGTGTATATCGTTCAGCAGTAACATTATCTTCAAAGAAAATCGGCCAATTATTCTTCGTCGAGCTATGACTACCCAAACTCCTATTTTACCAAGATGTAAAGTCATTTCCATTAACGCGTGGGGATTCTCCACGTACCTACGATAATTTTTTGAATGTATGTATTTACCCACTAAGATGAAACCATGCCTCATCGGTAAAAAAAGTTATATCTAAAAGATTGTCATCGTTTAAGTTGTTGTTAAACCAGTTACAATAGTTCACTCTTTTTTCATTATCTAATGGTAATAATTCTTGCACCATGGAAACTTTATATCGATGTAAATGTAATTTTCTTACATCTCTGTGTACTGACATGACATTCCTATAATTAATATTAAACATTTTATAAATAATATTTTCCTACCCGAGCTGAAAGTTGTCGTAAAGATTTAGTGGGATGCTAAACACTCTCTAACATCCTTCAGTTTATCTTCAATAAAAACTGACTTTCTTCCAGATGACTACCCTTTACAAAAACTGCCAGTATTTTTTATTCGTGTCACCAAACGTCGAACGTGCTGAGCAAAAATGTTATATTCTGCGGCTTCTTGATTTGGAAACTCTTCCTGGAATTGCAAAAAAACATGAATGGACTTTCATCTATTTTCATCTCGTTGACAACTCCGAAACTAGGTCTCTACAATAAATTGATCGTCTTCTAAAGAAAAGACCATTTTCTAACCAAAAACAGCACTTTATATCGAAAAAACTATCGGTATTTGCTTCCACACCACAAAACTAAAAGATAACACATGATTAGAATTGAAAAAACACTGATTATTTAGAAGATTAACGATAAATTCAAATAAAAACACAATTGGCGATCACAAATAAATACAACAGCAAGCACACACGGGAAGCACAGACGTCTATGAATTGACAGATCTTATCGGTCGGAAATCTAAGAAAACGGAAAGTAATTTTGATCAAATGGAAGTAAATTTTAATACCTGTGGCAACATTTACGTGACGCCAGTTTTAATCATTCTGGGTCGTTCGGTACAAGCAGAAAAGAATTAATTCTTTTTTCAGGTTCCTGTGATAAAATTAGTTGCCCGACTGGCAAGCACTGTTTACTGGATCAAAATCTGATTCCGCATTGTGTTAACTGCACAAAAAAATGTCCGGATGCTCCTAAACGCCGCCAAGTCTGCGGGTCGGATGACCAAACGTATCCCAGTGCTTGCCATCTGCGTGAAAAAGCTTGCCAAAACGGCAAAGCCATACCTATTGCGTACAAGGGTCCCTGTCGAGGTAAGTATTGTTCTCGATTTATGTCAGAATGTAAACATCGTTGGCTGCATTTTTATATTACCGGATGTATTATCTGAAAATTTTGTAGTGTTTCAAGAATTTTAGGCCAAAAAGCTACTCGCTCACTGGTTACAAAGTATCACATTCATAAATAAAAGTTCACTAAGCGTTGGGGAAAATAACTGGGGCAAATAACTTAAATCATACCACTTCAGATTTTTTTTATCTATAGATACTAGATATTTATTTCAAGAAGAATATTAATTCAAATTTTTGCAATATTATTTTGACAAGAAATTAATTTTTATTTAATATCCTTTCAGAAAACCTGTTACTTAAATTGTACCAATAAGTATCCTGTATTGTACTGCAACTGTTAGCCATTTTTTATTTTAAAATCTTGAGACTTAACTTGTTTTCAAGTTCAATTCCTTGGTGTACAGGGTGGAATACTCTCCCTGCTTACGTATGTTAGAAAAAATAAATAAATAATGTAAAAGTCTCGTTTTTCACTTTAATCTTTTGATGATTTGATATCAATAGAAATTAGGCAACTACACTGTAGTACAGTACAAGCAACTTCTTTTAACTAAAAATGTAATTATTCTATTTTAAGTCAAAACAAATTCAATTTTTGTAATTATATCAAATAAAGTCAAACAATGTTCTTCGATACCCGAAATCTAGGTATGCAAAAGTTATGTAATCCTACAGACCTGACACATAACTGCTGATATTGCGGTAAACAACTACGGGATATTTCTTTGAATGATTGCATTATTTAACAATTCCAATATATCAGGCATGTGTTTTTTGTATAAAAGCTGGCGTTTTATAGATTATAGACAAGGAATTACACTTTTACTAAGACAATGATAGAACAACAAATCTATCTAAATTATAAAAGTTGAAATACAAGGATTGCTTTAATTTATCGCGGTGAAAAATAACGGAAAACATAGGCACCAATCGCAATGTACCTTTCCTATTATGTAGAAAATTTTGTAAAAAATACTCAATAATTACACAGCCACACAAAAAAAAAGTTGTCTGTACTTTTCATGCGACATATGTTATCCGTAATATTTTTGCCTCCTGATCACGAATCTGCTGTCAGAATTGAGCTATCACATCACAGGAATTTCCTAACTGGTTAAAAATAGCAAAAATTCACGAAAAAGTGCTAGGAAACATATTTTTTTTTCTATATTCAAATGTTCATTTATGGTTAAGACCCCGCCGAACATGAATCCGTGGTCAGAATTGATGGTTCTTTTTCTAACCTCAAAAAAACGGGTCAATTAAGGTCAGATATCACGAATTTTCAAAAAATAATAGATTCGCGCCAAATTTGGTGTACGAGGGGTTTTCGGGGTCGCTGATCACGGATCCGAGGTCAATTTTACAAAATTCAAGATGGCGGATCCATAATGCCCGACCAAATTTTCAAAAAATAACCCTTTCACGCTAAATTTGGTATACGGGGTTTTCGGGGTCGCTTATCACGGATCCGAGGTGAATTTTGCAGAATTCAAGATGGCGGATCCAAGATGGTCAAACAAATTTTCAAAAAATAACATTCGTGCCAAATTTGGTCTCTGGGTCTCTGGTCACGGATCCGAGATCAATTTTTCAAAATTCAAGATGGCGGATCCAAGATGGCCGACCAAATTTCCAAATAAATAACACATTCGCGTCAAATTTGGTATACGGGGGTTTTCGGGGTAGCTGATTACGAATTCGAGATCAGATTTATAAAATTCGTTTTTAAAAAAGGGTCAGAATTGCGAAATTCATTTTGTAATATTTTTGTTTACTTTATAACTTGAGTACCCAAATCAAGTTTTAACCTTCTTAAAGTACATAGGTAATTGATTAAATTTTTAAAAACGAATTTTATGAATCTGATCTCAGATCTGTTATTTTTTGAAAATTTGGTCGGCTATCTTGGATCCGCCATCTTGAATTTTGAAAAATTGATCTCAGATCCGTGACCAGAGACCCCGAAAACCCTTGTATACCCAATTTGGAGCGTATCTCTTATTTTTGAAAATTCGTGATATTCTGACCTTAATTGACCTGTTTTTTTAGGTTAGAAAAAAAACCATCAATTCTGACCACGGATTCACGTTCGGCGGTGTCTTAACCATATAAATAAACATTTGAATATAGAAAAAAAAATTGTGTTTTTCCTAGCACCTTTTCATGAATTTTTGCTATTTTTGACCTATTTTTTGAGGTTTGGATATTCCTGTGATGTGATAGCTCAATTCTGACACCGGATTCGTGATCAAGAGGCAAAAATACTACAGATAACATATGTCGCATGAAAAGTACAGACCAACTTTTTTTGCATGGCTGTGTTATGATTAATTCATTTGTTAATGTTTCAAAAAACGTTCTACGGGGTGTGATTAAATTTATAGTACTGTACGCAATATTCTGTATATTCAACAGGCGTGTAAAGTTCAAGAAATGTAGTGATAAACACATGAATTATACCACATTAATGTGGTATAATTCAATAACACAGCTCGACAAAAAAAATCAAGAAAATTACCCCTGCAGTCTACCATATGTTTTCGGGAATTCAAATTCAGGGTCTATTTAACCCCATCCCGTCAGAATTTTTCATAACCTCAAGAAATAGGCCGAGAAACGCAATAAATCTTCTATCCATTGACCATTCAATCCCAATAACCCCATAACCCCTTAAACCCCATAAGCCCATAACCTCGAAATGCCATAACCCCAAAACCCCAGTACCCGGTAAGAACGAGACGTATGCGGGTTGAAGCCTTGAAACACAATATGTTCGAGCCTTAAACCCACATTCTTCAATAACCCTATAAATCCGAAACCCCATAACCCGGTGAGTACCTACGGTTTGCAGAACCCAGGAACAACGAAGAGGACGTAGTAGGTTTCTGTTCCCTTTATTAACATGTTCCCCTTGCCTCACACTTTTCGGGGTATTTTATTAATGTGAGGTCCCCTTGCCTCTCACTATTCGGTGTGTTCCCCTTGTCTCGCACGAATAGCAATAAGGTCCGAAGATTTGACTCATAAGAATTCGTATATAAGGCTATTCTTTACTGGGTTATGAGGTTATGGGATTATGGGGTTATTAAAGAGTATATGCAACGAATATAGACTCTTATAGAAGAACGCTCATGGGTTACAAGTCAGGGACGAAATTGAAATGCACGTAGAGCTATAGACTATAACTGACCTCCAATATTACATAGGAAAAACCTATAACATACTATACACGTCCCCCAAGATTTCGTCCCCGATTTCCAATCTTGAGCGTTCTTCTTAAGAAGTCTATATTTGTTGGTATAGGTTTAAGGCTCGAACATACTGTGTTTCAGGGCTTCAACGGGTATAACTCTCTTTCTTACCGGGTTCTGGGATTTTGGGGTTATGGCATTTTGAGGTTATGGGGTTAAAGGGGTTATGAGATTAGTGGGATTGATTGGTCAATGGATAGAGGAGTTATTGCCTTTTTAGGCCTATTTTTGAGGTTATGAAAAATCCTGACGTGATGGGGTTAAATGGACCTCGAATTTGGATTCAGCGACCCCGAAAACATGTGATAGACATAGTCACACTCCAGGACTAATTTTCTCGATTTTTTTTTTGGGAGCTGTGTAATAGATGGGGCATGTAGCCCATAGAGTAGTTGTTTCCCGCGGTACCAGCACTTATAGCTGTTTTACATTGACAATTTATTCATCAATAAATTGACGAAGTTCTTCATCAATTAATTCACGAATTTATTGGTAAACAGTGGGGTTTTACACTGCTACAGACTTTGTCAAGTTTTTTGACGTATGAATCAGTTCTACCAATGAATCAAAGAAGCAAATAAATTTCAAAAATGTCACCTTTCCACTCATAATTGTAGTGATACAACAGCGGTACCGTTCTGACACATATTATATAAATATTAGTTTTTGTAAGTAACAAATCAGTAAAAACAATGCAAAACTCGCACGACGCCACACAATTATTTACATATTTCAATAACATAACCTCATTACTGACCTGAGGCTGGAAATCTGTTGGGTTGGTACTTCCGAACTTCACGAAGAAATTGACGAAAATTCGTCAAGATCTTGATGAAGTTATTTGACAGCTGCTTTGGTGCACTACACTTGTCCAATTTCTTGATGAAGCGACTTCATCAATTAACTGATCAATAAATTGTCAATGTAAAACAGCTTTTAACAATCTTGTGTCTGTGAGGTTTGATGTCTGTTGAATATCTAGATTTCTGGGATGTTGTTTGACTTCCTTTGATAGGATTTGTTTGAATTAGCTTAATACTTTAATAAAAAGTAAAAATATGTGGGAGCTAATAAAATATACGTATTTATGAAAGTGACAAAAAGACAAAAATTATCTTGTTTAAATCTAAACTTCAATGATTTTTGTAATAAAAGTTGAACATTTCAGAGCATACGAGCTTTTTTGCCTTGATTGACCTAAAGAATTACACCTGCAAAATTTTAGATTGCTTAGGAAACTAGTTATTAAGAGTTATTTATTGTTGCTGTTGCCATCGTTGTCGCTGACAAATACTTCACGTTGGTGTGTGGGCAGCTTAACCAAGCTTCCTTCGTTTTCAGCGAACGCGACCTGCAGCAAGGTACGGTGCCGAGAAAGGCAATCGTGCCTAAAGGACCTGGATACGGGAATGCCCCGGTGTGTGACTTGCAGCATGAGCTGTCGGCCACGACACATGAACGGCCCCATCTGCGGCACGAACAACAGCACATACCATACGTGGTGCCACATGATGCAGGACGCGTGTCAGAAGGGTTACGTCATAGATACCAAACACTCCGGCAAATGCGTAAGTTTTTTGCAGCGCACAGAAGGAAGAATGACAACTAAAGGCAGAAACACATTGTTGTCACGAGCCTAATTTTGTAGAAACATATTTCAATCTATAGGAAACATAAAGGATTTTGAAAAAAGTGGAAAAGGCACAAAGAGTACTTTACAAAAAAAGACAGGGTGTTAAAGTTTTCGTAAAAAAATCTGTTTTATTTAAGGAGGTATATCGGGTTTACTAAAATGCACAAATGTACTTGAAATTTATATAGCGTATTACCCAGTGCACCCTCTGTGCGTCATATTTTTTTGAAATTTTTTTTGAATCTAGATTTTGAGATATTGTTGTTGAAAGTTGTTCATTTTTTCATAGGTTTATATGGCGAAGATGGACGGTGCGGCTGTTTTGCCCATAACTGAGAAAAAATGTAGAAATTGTGAAACAAAACTTTTCCATAGATAGTACACAGTATTATCTTATTTTTGATGTAAAAGTAATGTAAGCTTTGAACATAGTACAGCTGTATTAATTAGAAACAGAAACTAATAATTGCATTTCTATCTGACTTGAGGATTAATGAGGCAATGAGGCATGAACGTCGCAATCAGCTGACAGCAAGGAGGGAATACATTTGAAAGACTTGATAAAAACGAAATTGATTTCAAACATATACATTTTTCCTAAATCCCATGTACATTGTTATCAACAATAAATGATCCACACCAGATTATTTTTTGTAATGTTTTTAAAAAACTAATTTAATTAAAAAAGGCTAGGAAGCTGTGATATATTTATTGGAATAAAAAATACAGTTGATAAATCCTTTTAATATATTTAATGGTTTATAAAAACATCGTAATCATTACCCAGCAATATTTAGGGTTACATAAAGTTTTCTTTACTTGATTAATATAATTAGTAATACTTGAGATAAAAGCATTTGTACGGAATAACAAAGGAACATAAATATTTCTCAGCAAACTTTATATCTAAAAAATGAGTTATAGTTGCAAAACTTTTGTAACATTACTAAAATAGAGCTGAAAAACACGAACAGTGAGTAATAATGTAATTTCTATCACAGAACCTTCAAAATTGCATCCAACATTTTCTTTGACTTGGACGAGAGATGGGCGCGAGTGTCATTTCATTTCTTTAGAACTAAATTATCATAATTATTTTCTCGTTGTTTTACCAGTTCACATGATTTACGGATTTTAAATAAAGGATACAAATCTTCGCGAGGATAATACGATATATTTACTATATATAATAATTATATTTTACATAGTTTACACACAATACATTTTTGAACGCGTACGCATCTTTACCCGAATTTGACGCGCAATATCTCCGGTGTCCGAGGTCTGTAGGTTCGCAGTGTGTACAACTGCAATCGATTATTAGCGCTGTTGCCACATCTACATAGTGTTAATGCGTTCAAATATGATATTTTTATGTTGTTAATTTTCAATATGTATGCTATGTGCATATTGAGTAGATTTCTTTGCTACATAGATAATGTTTATCGCAAATAATTTCAATAGAATTTAATTTTTTCAAGTTGGCAGCGGGTTTTAGTCCCATAAGAAAAGCATAGGACCTCCCTGCGATCCTCACTTCCCTCGGACCCCGATATACCTCCTTAATATATAATATAGTAGCATTTTCTAAAAGAGCAAGGTAAATGAACAAAGGTACTCGTACTGTTTCCCTTAAAATGCACCGTTTTTGAAAAAAAAAGTTTCTATGAATTCGTTTCATTCAAAATACTAGAAATTGTAAAATTGGGCGGTAAAAGAATTTGATGAGGTCTAACTCTATTATAAAGGTGCTAAGCTAAATCAAATTAATTATAAAAATGTTTTTTCTACAAAAATCCTGTCAAATGATTTCAAACGCTGTTCTTTGATACATAAAATTTAGGTATGCAAAATACATCAAGATACCTAACTGTTGATATTGCAGAAAACAAAAACAATATAGGCTACATAGTAAATGGCTACTAATTAATATCAAATTATCCAAAATAAAACTCAAACATAATACGTCTAAATATTATTAATATAAAAATACATAACTAATAGTGTGAAATTGTCAAATAATATAAATATGATGTTAAATAATGCAATATTTTAAAGAAATATTTCGTACTTTTTATAAGGAAAGTTGTTCAGAATTTGATCCTCTACAACTTTTATTCGAGTGTGATCTTTTGATTGGATATTCCGGAGGCAGTCCCCAAGCAACCCTGAAGCAATCATCCTGTTTGGATTTTTTTTGCGGCCCCTATAAACCGAGCACAACTTTATCGGATTAATAACTTGTAAAGATAATATCGCAATTTTTATGCTGAATTCTGAATTTTCAGACATTGTTAAGCAAGAAAATGCATTTCTAAGATATATTTATTGTAAACTTCTATTAGAAGCATAAAATAATTTAATAGAACTGTCACACATGAACTAGCAGGATTATGATTTTTGAAATTAAGGTTTTTAACTTTCAAAGCAAACACGTAAAATAATAATGTAATTATCATAATTCGCAGAAAGTTTAAATGGTTCCAAAAAATCTGATTTGTTCCACAGAACGTCGTTCATCAGAATACGAATTCACTGTCAGTACAGCTAATTTCTACGAGTTCTGATGTGTTCATAAGAACATGCGTCCACTATGCGCTATAACTGTAGCCTAAAACTTGTTCTAAGAAACCTGCGAAAATTCGATATGGTGACTATAAAAGCTCATCCGTATATGCTAGGTTAATTTACTGTCACGTAACACTTTATATACAAGTTCGGAAAGTCCCCATGGTACATCGGCCGTTACGTGAGAGTGATAAAGTAAGTCATAGAAATCCGTGCGATAGACAAGGATGGTTACATTGAAGACGTTTCATAATCTGAATAGTCAGATTCTAACCCGAAACGAGCGGTGACTATTCAGATTTTTGAAACGTCTTCACTTTAGCCGTCCTTATCTATCGCACGGATTTCTTTACTTTACTTTGTCGCTCTCATGTAAAGGCAGATGAACCATATGGATTTTCCAGCCCTGTATATCTAGCGCACGTATTATCTCGGGTAATAAAAAAAAACACAATTTCAGGCATGCTATACTCGCATAATGTATGTGGCACAACAAAATGGACGAAATTTTTGAAATATTATTTTAGATTTTAGATATCACTTGTTATTCACTACAAATATCATAGGAATATAACCAATATGAAAACAAATATTTCTACCTTATTAAATACATATAAGTCATTCTTCTCTTTGTCTGTCTTCTGTTTTATTGTACGTGTACTTTCTTAATTACATTTATAATTTTAGTTATCGTGTATGATATATAAATATCCTAACGGTGTACATAAAGCTGCTATACAGGGTCGGAAAGTCCCCATGGTTCATCGGCCGTTACGTGAGAACGATAAAGTAAGTCATAGAAATCCGTGCGATAGAGAAAGATGGCTATAATGAAGGCGTCTAATAGTCACCACCCATTTCGCCCTTCCACAAATAAGATCCACTTCTTATTCGTGGAAGGGCGAAATGGGCGGTGACTATTAGACGCCTTCATTATAGCCATCTTTCTCTATCGCACGGATTTCGATGACTTACTTTATCGCTCTCACGTAACGGCCGATGAACCATGGGGACTTTCCGACCCTGTATATCTCTCCTGCAGCAATGTGTTACTATTAATTTGTTTCTGGCACTTTATTGCCTACCTCAAATTAGAGTCGCGTTTTTCAATTCTTATATAACTAAATTTAACAAATCATCAAAAGTTTTTTCAAAAGCACTTAAAATTGTTTTAAATTGTTCAGGATCCTTTTTAAACTTATTTTTTTTTAATTTAAGACTACCTTTATTTTTATTTTCAACCACGGCCTAACCTATCATCTTCTTTACTCCTCATTTGAATCTAGTAATAAAGTGCTGGCTACGTTTAGTAACATTTAGTAACACTATTACAACGCTTTTATTTTTCTTCTGAATATCAGTTCTTTACAAATATTATTTCCTTTGCGATTGATCAAAAACATTTTATCTATCTAACCTAACAATTTCATCTTGCCTAGCAGCTTGTTTATTTCACACAAACCCAATATTAAAAATACACTGAAATTTATTTGATTCTTTGATTTATTGCTAGAACTAATTAATAAAATATACGAGGGTATTTTAAAATGTAAAAGCACATTTAATATTGTGAGATACAACTTTGACAGAAGTGTGCTGCCATTATACGAGACCGTCAATGCAATATGTGCCAAAGTACAGTCCGTACAATATTTGTTGAGGTAAAATTCCAAAAAAAGAATAAGCCAATAAAATTCTGTTATCGGAACTACCGTAACAATTTACCGTGACAGGCGCGTGCCTTGAGATTTTCTGCGTTATTTTCAGAATATTAAAATATTCAGACTATTGTTTAAAGCTTGTAACTCGACACTTTCGCTTAAAGGATCTCCCTATAGTCGCTAAAGATACTCCTGTAGTAGCTTCTTTAATTGTATTTTATTTTCATTTGGAAAAATTGTCCTAAAATAATTATACACGTTAAACACGATACCCTTCTACTGGGAATTAAATTCCTTTCTTTTAAATTTCACCTCCACTGATTTATTTTAATAAGAAATTACATTGATCACACCACCACAGGATGTAACTGCAAAACACAGTATGCACTGCAAGCTGCTACGGTAAACGCCACGCCGCCTATGTCTTTCCACGTCGGGCATCGAATGCGGTTAATTCCAAGAAAGTGACGAAGGGGTCTTCGTGGAATTCTATATCAACAAATATCGTACGGATTACCTAACACAGTACCTTCCTTTCGTGCGAGTTTCAAATACTTGGTGTTGTTACTTTTTGAAAAACCCTGGTGTATTAAAAAATATATTTAGCTGTTTCTATTTAACATTTGATTTATTATACCTAAATATAGAAACATAGTTCGTCATTAAAAATTAATTTTGCTCTGTTGAATAAATACTGTAATATTCATGTACTTAAGTTTCAATTTCACGTTTTTGTTGCAGCAGAAGAATACAAACATTTGATCGTCAACAATCTCTTTAGAATTTAAGGAACTGAAAACCAAAGAATAGCTACAATATGGATGTAATGTTAAGAAATTCCAATGTTTTATGTATACAAATAAATGATAGTTGAAAAGTAGCAAATTTAATAATTCCAAAGTAGAATAATGTGTATAAAATATACTCTTCAATTTTTAATTTAACACATTAGTACTCCTGACAGTATCGTTAATTTATTTAAATACGATTTATGTTTTTACCGAAAATATAATAATTTGTAAACATTATTAAATTACATGAATTTTTTAATAATCGCATAGTGGAAATTATAAATGTTTTTCTTTATTTCGTGAGATTTAGGAAGGAATCAACTATTGTAAGCTCTTACCAATTAAAAATATAAAATGCTACGAGTGAGCGTATAATAACAAATACAGAAAAATAGTTTCCGACTCAAATCATTTCTGGGCCTTTATAATACAGGATTTTACCAGTTGGATACTTTAAAATCATTTCAGTCTTTTAAATAGGAACCTGTTCTTGTCTACGACTGTAATTTTTAAATACCCCAACCGTCTAAATCTAGAATTATTTGTATTTCAGATTAATGAATTCTATATCAAAAAATGTTAATTGTTTCAAAATTTATTGTTTGGATTTCAGAAAACATTTACATTTTAGAAAGTAAATCGATTTTCAGTAAATATATTTGAATGAGATATCAATAAGAAAGCAAAAAATTATATTAATTATATTGGAAACATTGGAATTCCCAATCTAATCAAGGTCAAAAATTATTATACAGATTCATTTAAAGGAAAATTTTCAGATTCTATGTTTGATGCCAAATGCAACATAGGTACTCTTGATAATTCTAAATATAATAAAAATCTTTATCAGCTTCTTCTAAAGGCAGAAATGGTCTGATGATTTTTTTATTAAAATAATTTATAAAGGTTATTTTTTAAATATACAATAATATACTATTTATATTGATAATAATAATGGTTAGAACCCTTCATATGCCAGATTTTAAGAAAAATACAATTTTTCTAAATATTTTACAATGTTTCTAAAAAAAACGTTATTTCCGACGTCTAATTATTCAGGAAATTTTAGACCTCTAATTTAAAGCATTACTAATATTATTACTGTCCGACAGTTACGCATGTATGAATATCGTATGTTTGTGACACAAGTTTGAAATTCACTTTAATGCTTGTTAGTACCATTTTTAGAACTCATTTTGTATTGCCTGAGGTTATTTATAGGTATATAGCACATAGTTTTAATTTGACCAGATTTTTTTCTAAAATACCTATCTACCTTTACTGAATTTTGAAAATTATGTAGATACAGTCGATACTATTTGCATTCTACATGTGGAAATGATGTTAAGTCCAAATAATGTTTAAATATTACATAGGTATTTTGTTTTATTATGCCCATTTAATATACACGTTTCCGATAATCTTGTACTTGACAAAAATGGAGTTATATTTAGGCTAACTGAGGCTATGTTAGTTTAATGTTGGCACATCCTCACGCATCTAAATTGGAATTGAGCCAGAGTAGCAAATTATTATTAAATTACGATCTTAATGAATGAAGCAATCGTAGAACAGAGCCAACAAAAATTTTGCGGAATCCGTTGGGAAACCAAACTTCAGAACATTAATCAAATTTAGATTTTCGAATATCGCAATTAATTTAAATTGAATAAACAACATTTGTACGTAATTATGAACGGAGTTTGTTGTGCCAAGTGGAATTAAGCAATGCATAACATCGTAATGAGTAGGTTACCCTTTCATATTAATGATGTATATTTACATACTTAATTATATTTAAAATTAAAACGTTCTAAATGTATTTTAAAGCTACTACATTTTGATATCAAATATCCGTATCTAAACTCGACGATTTAAAAATTCTACTGCGTTGACTAACCTGGCGCCACAATATTTGAAAACCGCCTCCACTTTCATAAAATAACGTTGTATCTGTGGCGCCAAGAAAACAAACTGTTTTTTTTTAATTTTCATATATGAGTAATATTTTATATGAGAATGAGTCATTATTTGTTTTTTGACTTCTGTGTTTACGTCTTTCATGTTTCGATCTGAAATTTTAAATAAATGTATTTTCTGGAATCGTTCGGAAATATGTACTTTTTTGGACCAAAATACCGTATTCTAGTATTTTAGTTTGTTGCTAAGCAACCATTTGCAAATAGTCCGGGAAAGTTAAGTTTCCCGTACCTTTTTTCTATATTTTACTCATAAATATTAAAGTATTCCACATGTTAAACGTTTATTATAATATTTGTTTATATTTATTACAACTATTAAACATTGGCTCGAAATGTCGGCGACATTATTGCTGTTAACTATTTCTTCTTCTTTCTGCTATACTTACCTAGTTTATTTGTAAAAGATTCTTTTATACCTATACACACATATAACCTTCGGCAACGTTTGAAGATTTCCTCCTCCTCTCTTTAATGAAATTTAATTTGCCCCAGCATTAACGAAAATGGTCGCAGAGAATCGACGGAAACGATGTTATGTATTTAACTGCATTTGGCAAATTACAAAATTTTGCGACAATTTGAGGCATTTTACCAAACTGATTATTTCTACTACTTGCCTGCAACCTTTCCCATTTGAATATTTAAAGAAAGAGCGCCAACTTTCAAAATTTTCTGTATGGGATGCAACATATAATCTATACAGTGGCATATGTTTCATTTATCACAAATGATCCTGTATTTTAATCAAACGCTTTGATTCTAAATCATCTATGTCATTCAAATTAAATTGATACACATTGATCATGGCGACATGCACCGGCAACATTAACTATTAAGGCAACCTAAAACGGGAAAACTTATCCAAATATTTTAAAATTTTCACATCTAAACGTATCTTATTCATTAAGTATGTATTATCTGGTGCTTGAGTAATAAACGTTTCAAATTGTTAATTTGACAAAACTTTTGTCTTCTTTGGTTTATAATTGAAGTTTCAAGAAGACACGTAATTTCAAATATTTTGAAATAATTTATATATCCCGAAAGGTATTAAATAGTTAAAATATCTCATTGTTGTTAAAAGAGCTATAATTAGACTTCGACTAGATTTTCAGATTTAGTTTATAAGGACTGTATTTTTTATTTCTGACATTTATAGTTGCGTGATACCTTTTATAAACATCCTACACGCGCATGAAACACATCTAGTAAGCCCATATTGAGTAAAAACTGGTAGGTGCACCCAATACATAAAATTGCGAGCCCAAAACCTATTATTGTTTATTTGCTGATATTTTTCAGGGTTTGTATTTGCCCTGGACCTATGTCAAATTTTCTGTGGACGCCCATGGTCAAAAGTTTTATATTTTGGAAAATATGAATTAACTTAGCACTATTTACTAGTTATTAAATACTACTGAAAGTTATTATGAAGTTATACACCAACAGCCTATGAAAGTTATTTCATTACTTGTACTAAAAGTCGATTTCTTGCTGTTGAAAGTTCTATATAAGTGCGAACAGATTTATACTTACATATTTTTTTATAATTCAAGCCGACGTAATCAACATACCTGTTTAGTTAAGAATACGGTTAAATACGAAATGTAAACAAATGGTTTTATTTATTGTGCTATATTAAAATAATCTGTGTATTTGCATTTAAACTTCAGGCTCTCAGACAACAAACAACATCAATTTTACCGACGTAAACTTATACAGAAAACGTGTTCGGATAAATAAATAGAGAATTAAGTAAATTGTCCAACTTTGGTTGGAATGTCACTGAAATTATCATAAAATTCATATGGATGCACTGGAATGCATAACGTGAATTTTGACCTGTTGAGCGACATTCATTGTGGCGAAAATATTCCCCGGTCTTATGAATTACCCAAATCAGGCACTACTATAATGTTTCCTCCTATATTTAGTCAAATAAAGTTTCATAACTTTATTGACGTTCTGCTCGTATCGTGACTGTTACGATTATTTCAGAATATTTATGAAAAATGGACGAGTATACGTGGATTGAATAAAATATGAAGACGGCAATATTATCCGATATAAAAATTGTTGGAATAATCTAAATATTGTGCTTTTCTTGTCGTTATTAAAGAAACCTTGGCAAAGCTTTTCGGTCTATTTCAGTACAAATTTGATAAATTTTTTATTCCTTCATACTTTTCGACCAAAAAAAAACAGTTTGAAAGAACAATTACATTACATAATGCATCCACCAGAGAGGTGAGAATATTTCGGGCCCATGTTCATAACCCTACCACTAATCCATGTGCATACTGATTGAGAAAATATTACCCACATATAAACTGTTGATTTTTTCACATTTTCAAACAGTATTGTACGTATGTTTGACTCAATTTGTAGGATAGCTGCCAGGGCTATATGTATTACATTATTTAGAAAAAAATGTTAGAAAAACTAAACGTTTTTCACGCCGTATGTTAGTACCGAAGCATTTGTGGAACTATTTATTTATTTATTTATTTATTTATTTTTCATATTCAAGGCATGAAAAGGCATGAAATTTTTGGTCTGGTCTACCAACTAGTAAATTTTTGTACGCTCACACTGGGACACCCTGTATAAAGACTGGTAAGAGCTTACAGTCATATTCCTTCATCAAAATAGAAATACAGATTCACATAGATTACCTATTCAAATTCTTCTTCGCTGTATTTAATTTCTCACAATAAGTCATCTTTTTTAAATAAGTTTTTGTAAAATATGAGGCATACAAGGTTAGTAAAATTTTGGCTTTCCGTAACACTGAAATAATAAAAGCATATGATTGTTGTCGATTTAAATTTACAGGATTATGAGCAGGTAATTTTTTGATTAAAAATGCAGTTGAAACTCAGAACTATATGGTCAGGAAAAGAACAGAAAATATTGCAAAACCCACTACCGTTGTTAATTGAAGCAACATTAAATATATTATTAAAAAATGGTTCACTTGTCTGGCTATACTGTCTAAATGAAATTTAGGCTACATGGATTTTCTAGTCTGAAATAACCTTTCCTGTCGTACAATCTACCTACTTTTCACGAATTACAACACAAGTATATTATGTCACAAATAGTTTTTATAACCGTAACTACACTTAATTTAACTGTAACTTAATATTTTATATGTAAATATATTTAGTAATATTAACTGAACTGTTAACTAGTTAGAACGCTATATGTAATAGTTATGAAATTTAGCTGGTACCAAAAATTTACTGATTTTATTAGAATAAAGAACCTCATTTGGTTTAGTTGAATATTTATACTTACTATTCAAAACGATCTATATTCTTGTTTAATCTTATATAATTTGTTGTCTTTTTGTACAGTATTTAATTATAATAAAAGCATATTTTTGTATTGTTATTTTTAATAAGATTTTGTGTATTATTATCATTATTATTATTAATTATTATTATGTATTACCTACCTATTAGACTGGCGTAACTTATTAAATATTTATTGTAGACCTAGATAAATAAATCGCAAAATCCAATGCTGTTTTTTATTTTGCTTTACTTGAATGCTATATCTGATATTAAAGAAAATATGTTTTGCCCAAAATTTGTAAATAAAATAAACCTAATCCACCTAGCTTTTATTATTCATATTGTAAGAGTAATAAAATAATTCTGTTAACCATTTTCATAATATTAAATATTCCAGAATTATTGTAAACACATGGACCGAATATTTTGAAACACTAATGAACTATTATTATTATTATTATTAACCGGATAATCTTACCATAACTGAACTCAATATTCCTTAATCTTAGCTTCTAGCATTTTTGCATTTTTCTCGAAAACGGAGTAAATAGAACTAAGAATATCTACTAGAAGCCGAAAAATATGTATCTATCTATGGCACTATCGATAATTATCAACAGCAGACACTATCGAATTATATCGATAGTTTATTAAAAACAATCTATAGTTTTTTATTAAACCTTCTGTAAATAAATATGGAAGGATCATTTGCTCAAAATTTTACATTACACAGAACTAAAAGGAATGTTGTAATAAATAGAAGTCTTATAGAATCAAATTACGTACTAAATGGAACAAGCCTAGCAACACAAATATAGATAACGTCATCAAATAACCAATGTGGCCAGTGGCGTCTGTCTAAAATTGACTACTTAATCTATTAAAATTCAAACTCATTACCACGAAAAATCGTAATAAAGTTTTGTAACTTTTGAAGTCATTAATTTAGGTTATATTGTTTCTAGGTTTGTACCAATTGCTACTTCTTATTCTATCATTCCGTTTCTGTACAATTTCTTACTAGCTCTAGCTAGCATTCTCAAAAATAAGTATTAATTACATATTTTCTTAAATAAACCGTTTACAAATCTATAATCCAGGTCTTGACTATCGATAATAATCGATGGTACCAACTATCGATAGTTCTCGACTTACTCCATGTACCTAGTTCACTCTACTCTTTCAGAAAAAACTACAATTTTTACGATAATTTCGTATTGCAAACTTATTGGGTAATATCCCGCACCAAAAAAAAAAATACCGTGCATCTTTTAAATACAGGGTGGGCCATTAGTGTGAGAAAGTAAAATAACTCCCTTATTCATAATGTTATTAATAATACATAATACATTAATGTTATTCATAATACAGAAAAAAAAGTTTGTGCAAAAGTTGTACAGAATCAAAAAACCTAAAGGACAAAATTAATTTGAAACATACAGGGCGATGAGTAAAAACGGAACACGCCAAATATTACATTTTTTAAATGGAACACCCTGTATATTTTTAAACATATGGATTTATGAGGAAATTATATGGCAATATAAAGAGTTTAACATTTTAGTGCTCTTCGAATTTTGGAAAAACATGACCTCGAAGAAGTTGTATTAACTTTCAACTACTATCACTTGGAGTAAAAATTTTTGAGAGTTATACGCAAATGTTGGGTAAAGACTCCTCCATTAGCTAATATCGATATTTTATACAGGGCATTATTTTATTCTATTTTATTCACATATCAGTCCACTTTTATTAAGTATATTCTACACCTAAAGTTGTTAGTTTTTAAGATATAGATAGCAACATTACTGGAAAAAACTCATTTTATTATTTTCGATCGTACGAAATGGCTTTGAAAAAAACTGTCACATTGTGTCAACTTGTCAGTTCATAGTCAGTATCATTCCATTTTGAGTTAATTTTATTAGTTATATTTATTTGTGATGTTCTGTAAAATAATAAAAATTAAGTTTTTTCAGAAATGTTGCTATATCTTAAAAACTAACAATTTTAGATATAGAACATGCTTAATAAAAGTTGAAGTGGGCCGATATATGAATAAAATAGAACAATAAAATACACGGTGTTCCATTTGAAAAATTTTAGAAAATCAAGTTTAAACTTTGTAAAAATAATTGTTTTATAAAAAATGTGCTGTATAAAATATCGATATTAGCTAATATAGGAGCCTTTGTCTAACATTTGCCTATAACTCTGTCTAATTATTTTGTTCCAAGTGTTAGTAGCTGAAAGTTAATACTACTTCTTCCAGGTCATGTTTTTTCCAAAATTCGAAGAATTTTCTACATAACTTGGCAACTCCGCACTAAAATGATAAACTATTTATATTGCCATATACACATAGAATTTTCTCGGAAATCCATGTTTAAAAATATACAAGGTGTTCCATTTAAAAAATGTAATATTTGGCGTGTCCCGTTTCTACTTATCGCCCTGTATGTTTCAAATTAATTTTGTAGTTTAGGTTCCTTGATTCTGTACAACTTCTATATAAACTTTTTTTTTCTGTATTATGAGTAACAAGGGAGTTATTTTACTTTCTCACACTAATGGCCCACCCTGTATATCTATGGCTACATTTTATATTTATTTAATAACAATTAAATTAGTTTAATCAATAACAGAAGAAACAATGCATATTCTAGATTTTAAAAATTTAATTGACGGTTTTAACTTTACCACAAAATGTATTGAATAATATGATTCCATTACGAATCCATAACTCAGTCTTACTAATGAAATTAGTCTCTTTTCGGATTTCCTCCATTTTGCAATGATAATAAAGGGCAAAAAAATAAATAAAATAGAACTTTCTTTTTTCATACGTTAATCATTTAAACGTTTCAGATCAAAAACATTATCCCAGACTATAAAAAACTACATTAAACAGTAAGTTATACAAAAAAGTATTATTGGTATACCATTAATTATAAACTAAATGTTGTAATAAAATCATTTTATTAGAAAATAGTTATAGTATTTATAATTAATCATTTTATTCGATTCGATCAATTGAATAGATTCGATTCAAACTGAGACGAACATAAATGAAAATAGTACAAACTTAACTTGGAATAAATTTTACAGCCATTATGAAATATGCGATTATGTAGGAAATCAGTAAAATAAAATCCAAAATTTTTACAAATATTTCCCAATCAGGAGGATTTTTTCGGTCAGAACTAATAATATTCATTCCATCTTCCACGCCGGTAGCAGCTGCTACACCCTGCAAAAAATATTTTATTACGAATGACAAACTTTTGACAAAGCCGTATTGGTAATGAAATATTTAAACTATACCGGATGATTTTTTAACTTGAGACTTTCAAATATCTTGAGAAGTAAGCACTTACGAAAAAAATGTCCATAATCAAAAGTTAATCATTCCACGGAGGGAATACACTCGTGCTAAATTAGTCCCTCTCCCCCCTCCTTTTAGGTGGGGATGGGGGTAACTTTGAAATCTTAAATAGGAATTCCTATTTTTATTGCATTCTACGGCTAAAAGTACATAGGAATTGTTTGAAACATTTTTTTCGATAGATAGCGCTGTATTCGACGAAATCCAATTTTTCGATTTCTCCTATGCATACGATTCTGCAATAAGCTTGCAATAAAAAATACCACGTTTTCACTGCAAATAATCAAAATTAGTCTTAAAACAAATTTTATTTCTCAATACTGAAAAATGACTCGTCAAGACACTATTATTATCGTAAACCAAGAACCGGCGCACAGTGGGCAAAAATAGAAACAATTCGAGCAACGTCAGGTTAGATGGTATAGCAATAAATGGTTCTTTAATCACATTAAAAACTCATATATTTTATTATGGAAATGTGGAAAATATAAAATTAGGCAAGTTTTTTTTAAACAGGAAAAACCATTAGGTTTTGAATATCCCACAAATTTAATAAACCCAATAAACCCAATCACCCATTCAGCTATTAACCGAAAAACAAAACTAATGATTTTGGGATTGATGAGTTTTGGGATTAATGAGGGTTTAGGCGTTTATGGTGTTTAGGGTTTACATGATTATGGATTTTAGGGTTTAGGTGTTTAGGAATTTTAGAAATTATGGGTTTATAGGTTATCAGGTTTATGATATTTGGTTGTTAGGTTAATGGGCGATTGGGTTTACCTATTGAATTTATGAATTATTGGGTTTGTGGATTACTTGACACTAATGTTTTTTTCCTGATTTAAAAAGAAGCAAATTTCATATTTTCCTCACATTGAGCTTAAAATATACGACTTTTGAAAGTGATTAAAGAAACATTTATTTCTATACCATCTAAATAAACTTGAATTGTTTCCATTTTTGCCCACTGTGCGGCGTCCTTTTTGGTATAGTTGATCAACGTGGTTTCCTTCGCTTGTAACTTATCGGAATGCTTGATTAAAACTGATTTCAAATGAATAATTTTTTTTTGTATTCTGTTTTAAAAATTTGATTTATTTCCTTAAAAATAATTTTTATAAAAATGTTTTTTTATGTTTACATTTAACGTTTGTGTTATTTCTTTCTTCGTGGTTTTTGTAATTGTAAAAACACAAAATAAACATACAAAGAAAGAAACAATTTTAACATACAACTCATTTTAACCAAGCACCCCGAAGAGAACAGAAAACTGCTTCACACACGGCGTTGTTCCTGGGTTATGCTAAAAACAGGTTATTCAACAGCCATATACATTTCTACAGGTAACAAGTTTCCAGTTATTCTAAATTTGCAAAATGAATACACTTTTTTGATTACATAAAACGTGGTATTTTTATTGCAAACATACTGCAGAATCGTATGCATTGGTTCTCAGTAGGAAAAATAGAAAAAAATTTAAGTACTTTCAGTCGTAGAATCTGAATCTGCAATAAAAAATAGGGGGTTCCTATTTAAGATTATAAAGTTAGCCCCCACCCCAGCCACAAAGAGAGGGGAAGAGGGACTAATTAGCACTATTGTATTTCCTCCACGGAATTAGTAAATTTTGAATATGGACTTTTTTTTGTAAAGTGCTAATTTTTCGAGATATTTAAACATTTCAGATTAAAAAATCACCCGTTATCCAGAGCCTTCATAAATGTTTACAAGCCATATGACCGTCAAGATTAGGCAAGCAACATTGCAGCGTTGATACTAGTAACAAAAAAAATTGACGTTACCAGTATTAATGATTCATTTACAATGAACAATGACAAACCGTTACGATTACGCTGGAGATAATGTGATCGCTGATTGGTTGAATAGAATCTGGTGAAAAGTTACACCAATCACAGCCGGTAAAGCGGAATACTGAGTTTTAATGTCATCTTGATCTTATTGTTTTAATCATTTTTAATTTTACCGAAATTTAATTACCAACACGATGGAAATAAAATTACTGTTCCCAACAAAATTACTGGTCACTTGGCTTGTAATCATTTATAAGGGCTTTGTATACATACTTTTGCTGAGGTATCATTTAAGAATAAATATCGCCCTGGCACACATCCAATAACGTATGAAACCAAGGTGGATATCCAAATCGGAGCCAGAGTTTGGCGCTGCATCAAGCTCTTAAATATTATGGTAAATACAAGAGCAATTGCTGACATTAGCAGGGAGTCTCTGGCGAATAAAACTGTGAATAACAATAAGAGTCAATATATTGGCATTTGTTTTTTTTTCAGTTATATAATAAAAGTAAAATGTAACTAGTAAAAACTTGAACATTTTAGACAAGAAACTGCTAAGATATTACTAAGGGCGTTGTCAGTGGCATACGCTTCATGGAAGCAAGGAAAACATTCATTCACTGAGGGAAATCGACCAATAAGAAAGTTTTGCTAATTGTAAGACAATCTGTGTTATAATAGCTTTGTTCCTAGTGCTATTAGAATTAGTTTCCAACAGTCAGACTCAAAACGATGAATTTTTAATCTTATGTAAGCATTATATCGGAATGCGCATGCGTCTGACTGAGGGCCTCAAAAACCCCCCATATCGATTTTCAGTTCGTCTTTTTCGATTGTGCGAGGAAAACCCACGGAGATGAGATCCGCGTCCAGATTCCGGTGCACCAGGTGTTCAGGGGATCGTTTTCGACGTGAAATTTGGATTAAGCGCCCCAAAAAACGCCCCTTTTTGAGTTGTTTTTGGCGATCTTGTTAGGAAAATTCTCAGAGATGACGTCCACGTCCAGGTTCGGGCGCAGCAGGTGTCCGGGGGGTGTTCGACGATGGCAGCGACCCAAAAAACTCCCGGGCGCCGAGTTTCTCTCCTTCCCCGTGTGAATTTTGGGAGAGTCCCACGGAGATGACGTTCATCGGCGTTCCTGAGCTCCAGGTGTTCGAGGGGTCAATTTGAACATCATAATCGTGATCAGCGACCTCGAAATCCCCCGAGCACCCGATTTGGCCCAGTTCTGACTTTTATTTACAAAGTTTTGAAATCTTCCAAAAGGCGTCTCAAAAAATGCATTTTTTGAATGCATTTTTGGCTGCAGCAATGCAATTTCCGGTTTTTCAGAAACACAAGGTGTCCACATTTTTTACAAAAAATTTTTGGAAGAGAATGCAAAAAACCGCATTCCGATCCGTCTTTATGGAAAAAATTTCGAGCTTTTGTGCTTCATTGCCTCGCCTAAAAGCTGAAAGCAATTTTTCTTATTTGTGTTAAAAATATCATATGCACATTTATTTTAGCGTGTAGTAAACATAGTTAAAGGCAAAAGCGAGAGCTACATTGTACATTTTGTGTCCAACATTGCAACAGGAAGGATACCCTGTCCATCTTTCATACAAACATTATGTCAGTAATATACTCGTACATATTAAACACATTTACGAAAATAATAAACAGAAAAATAATAAACAGTCTAGTGATATATTCAAAGAAACATATTGAAACAGCAGCCATTTGCAGGCCGTTTAGGGGTTAGAAATCCCACCCTCATATCGAAAACAAATCAGAAAAACATAAAGAAATAAAAAGCCATCCTGATAATCATGTGAGATAAAGATAATATGGTACTAAGACGGCTTGCAATTGGATGAGTACTTTACTACCACATTATATTTATCTCACTTGATTACCAGGATGGCTATTCTTTAAGATTTTCTGATTTGGTTTTCGATAGAAGGGTGGGATTTTCAACCCCAAAACGACCTGCAAATGGCTACTATTTTAATATATTTTCACTCCTGTATTAGGGTATTTATTAATTATTTATTTGTTTATTATTTCCGTAAATATGTACACCCACAGATGTTCGGGTGTTTTCGGTAAATTGGCTGCTATCTTTTAGGTCATATCGGTGCACTATGGGCCAGGAACATGAAAAAGTGGCCAAAATACTAAAGTGCTCCAATCGCTATCAAATATGGTACGTCAAGGTTTTTGGGGTCGTCGATTTCGAATCCGTACTCAAAATTTTGAAATTCAAAATGACGGATCCAATATGGCGGACAAAAATGCTGAAGACGCTCTGATTGTGCTGAAATGCGGTATTAATAGGTTTTCGGAGTCGCTGATTTCGAATCCGTACTCAAAATTTAGAAATTCAAAATAACGGATCCAATATGGCGGACAAATATGCTAAAGCTGCTCCGATTTTGCCGAAATTTGGTACTGAAAGGTTTTTTGGGTCGCTAATTTCGAATTCGTACTCAAAATTCAGAAATTCAAAATGGCGGATCCAATACAATGACTATAAGATTACAAAATGAGATTTTGAACTTAATTGCGATTACATATGGAAAATTACAGTATTTACAAAATATCACTGAATGAGTTCAAAGTAGACATTACTGTTAAGATCTGGGCACCTTAAATCTTTTATTAGAAGATGCAGTTGCGGGGAACTGGGAAACGGCAATTTGTACAAAACGGAAAAAAATGAAAATGGTTTCGCAAGAAATCACAATACTTTTCGAATTCAAATATCAGTAATACAGATATTACATAGAACATTAACTTCAGAATTCACAAGCTCAATTTTTCAAATGTTCAAAATCTGTGCTTTTTATGAGAGACATGCATTTTCCATTAAAGTATTGTCAGATATCGGAACGCCGATTTAGGCCCAAATTCATAGATCTCACTAAAGTTCCGCTCACACTTATCTCGTACTAAACTCACCCTAATCGTATTCATAAACAATTCTAATTCAATGAGTTACATACATTCTGTTACATACCTCATAAATGATTGCTTGTCACTCATTCTAATCTATATGAAGTATATAGTAAGAAAATGATCTAAATATTACTAACTACTAACTAATTATTACTTGGAATATTATGAGGATCGTTTTTACCTGGATAATTAATTAGACCATTTGATTTTCATTATTTATTATTTAAATGTAACTTATTATGTATATATTTTCAACNTTACCTGGATAATTAATTAGACCTTTTGATTTTCATTATTTATTATTTAAATGTAACTTATTATGTATATATTTTCAACGTCAGTTATTCAAATTCAAAATAAAGAAATATTGTGACATTAGGTTTCTACTGATGACATATTTTTGGTAATATTTGAGTAGCCAACTGTTTCCTTGTCTAGTAATTTGTGGTTTGATGCACACTCAAGTTAGTGACTCATTTATACACATTTCTGAATACCAGAATTGAGAATGACATTAGGGCACCCTAAGTTGAGTGAAGCATAAGTTTGAGATGAGTGAAAGATTAGTGTAAATTTAGGGAAATCTCTGAATTTGGCCCTTAGATACTTATTTAGAACACCCTAAAGTATTTTTCAGAATTTTTTCGCAGCGTCGTTTTTTATTATAAATTAATAGATAGATATTACCAAAAATTTATTAGAAAAAAAAATAGAAAAATCGTTTTTTCTGCTGTAAATCTAAATAAGTAATTGAAATATTTCTTATAATAGTGTCCTGAGGGGTTTTTTTATTCGTAATCAACGACCCGAAAAACCCTTGAGTACTGATTTTTATGAAAATCAAACTTTTTTTGAATTAGGTACCTATTGGTCCGCCATATTGGATCGGCCATTTTGAATTTTACAATTGTGACTTCTGATCCGTAATCAGCAATCCCGAAAATACTTAGCTGCCACATTAAAAAAAGTTCCAAAGGAAAATAAAATCACGGGCGCTGTTACGGTTTATTATAAAATTCTTCGAATTCTGTGAATATTCGCAAAAGTTTGCCAGTTTTTACTAAAGTACACACTCTAAGAAATCCGATGATATATCGCTCCTTTTGATAAGTAGTGGAGTTTAGAGGAGTTCTGTTTCCAAAATATAGTCAAAGCATCGAAATTCACTAATACTTTACGTTCCGCCATTTCCTTTGTTTTTCATTTTTGCACTTTGCGCCCTATTACAATGATTTTTCGAAGTAAAATGATGGATGAGATGTAACAGCAGACTTTTGATTTGTTGAAATACAACAGCACCAATGAAATATTTGAAAAGTAAAATCGCTGGTTTCATACATGATTTTAAAAGTTTATGTCGTTCCCACATTGAGAGTAGCCCATCGAATTCAATGAAACTTTAAAAATAACTAGTTTAGCTTATCTAGATAACGACAAGACATTTGTTTAAATTCATCTCCGCAGTCGCTTTTAGGCCACTTTTTCAGTTTCCTGGCCCATAGTGCGGTGGGGTAGTGAAGCTTTCCAATTGTGGACATCTTGTTTTTTACTCGTAAATTTTTAAATATAAAGGAAAAATTTAAAGACAAAGTTAGAAATTGAATCTACCTAACTGCGCATAGTTATGACAAAGAAAATCAATTATCAGTGACTAAGAAGACACTTATCACTACATATTATAAAACAAAGTCCTCCGCCGCGTCTGTCTTTCTGTCTGTCTGTCTGTCTGTCTGTCCGTTCGCGATAAACTCAAAAACTACTGCACCGATTTTCATGCTGTTTTCACCAATGGATAGAGTGGTTCTCGAGGAAGATTTTAGTATATAATTTGTTAAGTTTCGGAAAAAATAAGCCGTCTGGGAGCTTTCAACGAAAACGATGCCTAAACCCTTTGAGATATAACAAAATAATGTATGGTGGAATTCTGTATCTTATATAGGTCTACAAAAAAGTCCGCGATGGCATATGTCTATCTCTTAAGGATAACATACTTAATTTTAATTTTAATTTTAATACTTTAAAAAATGGGCAATTATAAAGCAGTAATTGGAAAGCTATTTACACAAATACGGTATTAATCCTTATCATTTTAAATACGTTAGTTGGCTTGAGCATTTCATGAAGATTATTTTTTCCCTTTACACCATGCAAATTAAATAAATACCTTAGGAGATATAGCAAAATCAAAATAATGCGCAACAAAATTAATTTCGTGTCGCCGTGATTCGACCCGGCCGCGCGAGCGCCCCGTGACCCCGCGCCGCGCCTCGCGTCCGAGCCGGGGGGGTCCGAAAGTTTATGTAGTGTATCAATGTATGGTGGAATTGTGTATCTTATATATGCCTACAGAAAAGTCCGCGATGGCATATGTCTATATGTTAAAGATAACATACTACCCATATCCATTTTAATACTTTAAAAAATTGGAAATTATAAAGCGGTAATGTAAAAGCTATTTACACAAATACGGTATTAATCCTTATCATTTTAAATAAGTTAGAGGCTTTAAGCATTTCATGCACATTATTTTACTCTTTTACACCATATAATTTAAATCAATATCTTAGGAGTAATCGCAAAAAAATTACGGACGCGAAAATAAAATTCAAGCGCCTCGCTTCGCTTGATGCGATCGCCGACCCTCCCCCCGCACCCTCTTGCCTACTGTTTAGCTAATAAGCCGAACGATAACGCGCGCGTGATCCTTTAATAAACTGACTTGGAGCGAATGAAGGTGACGACTGACGACTGTGTGTACTTTGTGGGTGTTGTTGGAAAGTTATAATTGCGTTCGATATACATACTTTTATTTCATTGAATTTTAATAATTTTTTTGTTTTTTTCTTATTGTGAATCATTTAAAACTTCATAGTCGCATTTTTGTTTCGTGTTTGTTTTCTTTAGGTAGTTAGATACCTAACTACTTACTTATTAATTAAAATTGATAGTCCTTTGTTTTCACATTGTTGGTAGTTACCTATATTGTTGTAAATTTAAAGGTTTTGCATTTTTAGTTTTGAGTTCGTTTATTGTCTTTAGGTATGTAAATATATCGTGAATTATTTTAAAATTAATATTATGGTCGCATTAGATGAAAGATGATTGATTTTTTGTTTGTTACGATTTAACTCAAAAACTACTCAACCAATTTTACCGAAAGCTACATTTTTTCGGGGTTACATAGGCTATTTTATATTTGCCCGTGCGAAGCCGGGGCGGGTTGCTAGTTTTCAATAAAAAAAGATATTTAATGATATTGTCATAAAAGTCGTTATATTAGGATAACAACATAACAACTACGATAAAAACTTTTGCTAGAGAAGACGACCTTGCAACAATAAATAAAATATTAGCAAGAAACATTTTTTATTAGCACCATGACTTTTCTGTAGTCTATTTAAAGCAGATATTTTGTTAGGATCGCTCAATTTCTACTTATATTATATATAAGTAAGGCTAAATTATATTTTCCCTTACTTTTACGTATTATCAATGAAAGGCAGTTTGCTTAGGGAAAATTTCACATTTTAAAATTTTTTGGACGTCCTATGTGTTTTATTATACACTTGATTACTGCCCATGGCTTCCCATGATAAGCAAAACTTTTTATCAAGAATATCTTTTTCTCGAAAAATCAACAATAAAAAAGTTTACAAGAGTGCGGTACCCCATCTGGGGACACACTATATATTAATGAAACAAAAAAAACTTTAGTAGTGACCGTAAATCGCTTTTACTTAATTATATGTAGTTACATAACTAACTTCAGTATCTATTATTATTTTGTTTTATATACCCATTATGTTTTAATTTGACATTACAACAAAGACCTTATCTGTTACTTACTCAGGAATGGAATACGGTCGCCTTTCAGAGGTATCAGCCAGGATAAGTTCTGAACGTGCAAGAACTGGACGATTAAGTTGATAGAACACAAGATTAACCGTTCAGTGTTAACTGGTGATGGGACCAGCGACGTAAAAGTTAAAATAACTACCACTAAAAAAAGAAATTAATATTTACATAAAAATAATTTTGTTCTTCTCATATACAGGGTGTAACAAAAATGAACCAAAAAACTTCGAGGGGTCATAAAAATATTGTGAGTATGTCTTATATAATATCATTCTAAAAATAATTCGTCGAGGAAATAGAGGGCGTTACGTTAAAAATTGTTTATGCGTCCTCGACTTTTAAAAAATCTAATAAAGGGTTTGAATTTTTTACTCTATTTAACAAAAACGAAATTTGTATTTTTTTCTTGAAACTGTAGCAGCCAGATCAGTTGCTTGTTAAGAAGTTCCCTGTCGAACACTTACCGACAGTTGGAATTATGATACTAGCGGCATGCGCCCCATGCAGTCTGTTTATCTTAAATTTTATTTCGATGGAAGGAAACGTTACGTTGGGGCAGCAATAACGTCCAGCGTATTTCTTCGCAGTGTAGCTTTCTATTTCCCATTCGCCGTTCGGTTCCATCGCCTTCTGTGAGACGACCTCTTTGAGGAGCTTTATGTCCAACTCCTCGCCTTTTTGCACCCACGAACCCACTCGCAATGCACAAACCTGGGAGTCATAAGGGTACATACGTAGATCCGGGACGCATAAAGAGTCGATGTGCAAGGATGGGACGCATATAACAGACCCCTTGTTGGAAACTGTGCATCTGGTGGAACCTATAGCTGAAGGATTTCCACCTTGTTCTGCCCTAATCGGAATAAAAATGAAACCCGTTAAATGATAAGCAAATAAAATAAAAAATAATCGCAACTCATCGCAACCTAAGTATTTATACCCCCAGACGACAAGTATGCAATGGGAAATACGCCATCACCCTCTAGTTTCTTTTACTTGTCCAAAACCATCCTTAGAACTTAGAAAACATTCTGCATTCAATATGTTTCAATGTTAATATAAAAATTGAAACATTCTCCAAAGAAGGAAACATCTTGGATACAGTCCTGAAAACAAACCAGCCCCATGTTCGTAGGGCTCATTGCATATTTTGAGTATTCATAGACTTAGTCAACTCCTGCAAGTTTCTAATGAACACCAGAAAGCTACCTCTAAAACTCACATTCGGTGGATTCATGTCACAAACGCACACCACGATTTCACAGCCTGCAGACAGAGATGCATCCTAATGACTCATCCAATACCGTGGCATATCCAGGACATACAAAAACAATATTAGTCCGACTCACTTTACATCTAAAGGCTACAGTAAATAAACAGTGGTTATTCTTTTTCCTTTTGTATCACTATCTTTTATCTTCGGACGATATATGTAGAGTATTTAATTTTCTCTTCTAGCCTTGTAAATATTTAAAATAGCCTTCAAAAATGATTACAAGCCACCGGACCAGTAATTTTGTTTGGAAGTAATTTTATCCTTCACGTTGGCAATTAAATTTCAGTAAAATTAAAACTGTGGGTATATATGTCCGCAAATGACCCATTTTAAGTATTGCGTCAAGAGCGCGAACCTGACGCCGCCAGACCGGTCTAAAAGTTGCAAGGACAAAAAACAGACGCTGACGCAATAGGGTTCCAAGAAAGGGTTCACGGCAGATTGGCGCCAAGGACCAGATACTTATACCTGCGAGAGACTCCACACCACGAAGACTCTCCAGCGAACGCTCGCTCCGACAATACTTATTTTTCACTAACTTTATTTTCAATAAAAATACTTTTATTTTACCGTTGAGAGAGTTTTATTTTGCTACATACCGCAAGCAACCCTCAAAACGATAAGATTAAGATTACATTAAAATACAACATTCTGTTTCACCGGCTGGTGATTGATGTAATTTTTCACGAGATTCTATTCAGCCAATCAGCAATCCTTTTATCTCGATCGTAGACTTACCGATTTGTCAGTGTACGTTGTGAACGAATCATTAATATTTTAGGGATTTTTCGTCACCAGTACCAGCCGTGCAATATTGTTGTCTGCGGTCACGTGGCTTGTAAACATTTATGAAGGGTATGTATGTGTATATAAACCAAATGTGACTATAAACTTTCAAAGTGTTAAAATGTTCGGGTGCAACCGCTGGGCGCAGGGGTGTTCTGATCGGAGTAATTTTTATGTCATTATGTAGGTGGGACTTTTCTGTGTCGAATAGAAGTAGTATGGGCATTCCACAATTATGAGGTGGCCATGGAGAGAAAAATGATGGGAACCACTACATTTTGGTTATTTTTATAAGACTACCGATGTTTAAGAAAGCTATAAGTGAACCTATCTTGAAAAGTAAGTTTTCTACGGCACATTGTATAAGAGATGATTTTGTATCAGCGGCAAATTAATATTTGGCTTTCAAGCCAAAAGCGCAAATTTGTATCAATTGAGGTAGATAGTGGAAATATATACAGAGGGTATCCTTTATTGTACTATCATTTAATTTTTGTCGAAATTGACATTAATCCTTTTACGCTAAAAATAGTAAAATGGTTTAAAAGGCACTTTTTAATTTATTTAATATAGGTATTTATTTATTTTTATATGGTACACCCTAAGTTTTTTCCTTATGTTTAGAATAAAAAACAGCAAATCTAATAAAGAACTCTATTTCCACTTTTATGAGGAGCCACAATCCATCTTCAGACTACCTATCTATTAAAAAAAATCATCCGTAGGTAATACAAATAGTATACAGGGTGGTTCGTAAGTAATGGTCCATAGAGACATACTAGATTTTTTACTTCAAAATATTACGATTGGAGCCAATATGCCTTAATAAAATGTTGATAACAAAAAAGATACAGGGTGTCAAAGTTGGAAATTAAAAATTGAATTTTCGTAATAATTATAATATTTTTGAGTGTATGAACGTGAAAATTTAGGGGTAGATGTTTCTGTATACGAGAAATCATAATTTGTTATCTATTTCGATGTATCTTCTAGAGGGCGCCACATACGCCGTGTTTATGACGTAAATACGAGCATAATTTTTTTATCCACAACGTTAACGCTTCTTTTTTTTAAAAATCTTAAACCTACATTATTTTCGTGAAAAAATGGTATACTTGTCATTAGCTCTAGAAATTGTCCGTTTTCAAGAAAAACGCATTTCAACAATCTGCTGCATGTTTCATTACAGGAAATTTTATCGTAGTGTGCGCTAATGAAAACATTAATTTTGACAATTAAACATTATCCCTTTGTACACATTAAAATACAAATTATCAAGTTGATAAATTTTATTTACAAAACCAGTTAAAGGAGAAATTTAATTAAACAAAACTATGATTTTATCAAGCGTTTAACAAGTAAAAAACTGAATATGTACCTAAGGAAAAATAGGAAATGTTTCAAAGTAAATTTTCAATATGTCCACCATTCACCTCGATGCACTTGTCCATACGATTTATGAAAGATCGTCTAATATTAAATAATACCATTGGATCAAAAAAAGTTGAGGCATTACTAATTTCTTGCCAAAGTTGGACGCGAGTATTTATAGTGTTTTTATAAACAATTTCCTTCATTGTGCCCCATACACCAAAATCTAAAGGGTTGAAGTCTGGACTACGTGGCGGCCAAGGAAATATACTACCACGGCCAATCCAACGTTCAGGAAAGTGTTGGTTTAGATATGTTCTTACTTGATGAGTAAAATGTGGCGGAGCGCCATCTTGCATGAACCACATATTTTGCCTCAAATTCAGTGGTAACGCATCCAATAGATCAACAAAGCTATTTTCTAAAAAATTTAAATAACTTGTACCATTTAAATTTCCTGGCAACTCATATGGACCTAGAAAATGGTTTCCAATGATCCCACACCAAACATTAATCTTAAATTCATGTTGAAAGTGCCGTTCTCGAGTTACATGAGGATTTTGAACTTCCCAACAATGCTTATTTCTTAAATTGAAAATACCTCGGCGAGTAAATGTCGCTTCATCTGTAAACAATATTCTGTTGACAAATGTATAGTCAGTATTCTGCTTGTTCCGAATATCACTTGCAAATTGATATCTTGAAGGAAGATCGACAGGTAATAAATTTTGAACTGGTGTAAAATGATATGGATGATATTTTTCTTCATGTAATGTCTTTAAAATTGATGTTTTATTAATTCCCGTGGCTGCAGCTAATCGTCTTGAACTAGTTTGTGGATCATCTGCAATGCGAATTAGTATTTCGTCTTCCTGGTCAGGCGTAATCATTTTTGGTCGACCTAAATTATCACGTTTAGGACGAAATGAACCACTTTCGCCTAAGTTTCTGAATAGATTTTGAAACAGTCGTTTACCAGGTTGCAATCTGTTTGGAAATCTTCGGCAATATTCACGTTGCGCAGCACGTCCATTGAAATTTTGTTGACAATAAACAACCGTCATATCTCTCATTTCCAAATTCGAGAAATTATTATGTCTCGGCATAATTCGTTATTTTCTTTTAAATACTTAATTGATTTTTACCAAAAATTAATAAATACAATTTGAATTAATTGCTAACCGTCACAATGATTTTTTCTAATTGTCAAAACTGTCTTGGCATTGTCGCACACTACGATAAAATTTCCTGTAATGAAACATGCAGCAGATTGTTGAAATGCGTTTTTCTTGAAAACGGACAATTTCTAGAGCTAATGACAAGTATACCATTTTTTCACGAAAATAATGTAGGTTTAAGATTTTAAAAAAAAAGAAGCGTTAACGTTGTGGATAAAAAAATTATGCTCGTATTTACGTCATAAACACGGCGTATGTGGCGCCCTCTAGAAGATACATCGAAATAGATAACAAATTATGATTTCTCGTATACAGAAACATCTACCCCTAAATTTTCACGTTCATACACTCAAAAATATTATAATTATTACGAAAATTCAATTTTTAATTTCCAACTTTGACACCCTGTATCTTTTTTGTTATCATCATTTTATTAAGGGATGTTGGCTCCAATCGTAATATTTTGAAGTAAAAAATCTAGTATGTCTCTATGGACCATTACTTACGGATCACCCTGTATAAAGGTGTGTGTGTGTGTTTTGAAATGGCACTGGTTCATCACCAAATAGCCAGTATTTGTCATGTTCTGCTTATTAATTCATTTGTTTTACTGAATTTTTATATTCTGCCCATATAAAGAAATAAGGAAAAAACGGATTCTTAATTAAAATAGTATAGAAATGGAACACTAAGAGCTAAACTTTACAAAATACCACATGCCCAATAATTTATATTTTCTTTCTTGTCTGACAATGATTAATAAATACATCCATCTTAACAGTAACCGAAAAAGGTAATTATAGTTACTACTATGATTCCGTATATGTTTATTTTATTTATTATTATTTTACTCTTTTTTTTTATGTACTACTATAACTCCATAATTATTTATATTTATTGTTATTATTGTTCTCCTTTTAAAATGTTTTGTTTTAATTTATTTTATTGCGGTTTATTTTATTATTATTACTATTTCTTATTATTTATTCATCCCTTATTTATTCATTTTTTTTTTTTGATAATATAAGCCGTTACATATTTATTTACAAAAGTATGTTGTTCTTCTTTATACAATTGTATAAGAGTTTATATACATCTATTTTTCTTAATGATAATAGGTTAGAAATATGAGTTGGTAACATTTCTCTTCTAAGATGAAGTGGTGGTTCAATACATTCTACTTCCATGATTAATTGGAGTGCTTTTCAGGTAACCGATGGACAATCGAAGTGCTTTATTTTTTAGTTGTTCAATTTTTTGTAGATGAATCCGATTAGCTGTACCGTATAGGATACAACCATAGTCACAAATGGATCTAATTAAGGACCTATAGAATAAGAGACATATATTGGGGTCAGCTCCCCATTTTTTGTGACTAAATGTGCGAAGAATATTGAGTGCGTTTTCGCTTCTTTTACATAGTAGTTTTATATGGTCTTTCTATTTTAACTTCTTATCTAGTATTACTCCTAGATATTTCACTGAGGTTTTATATTTAAGGTTTAGCTTGGAATGTTTTATATAATTAGGTGGTTGGTAACGTGATCTTGTAAAGGTGCATATAGATGACTTTTCTTCAAATATTGGTGAACTATTATTTATAAACTACTTTGTTGCGAGTGTTAATGCTTCATCCAGTGCTTGGTGACAGTCGTCTACTTTTCTGCCTTGTGTTTGAATTGCATAATCATCTGCAAATTGGTATACCTTAACTTGAGTGTTAGAAAACTGTTGTTCAAAATCATGTGTATATATAATATACAACAGAGGACTTAATATGCTGCCTTGAGGTAACCCTACAGAAGCTTTTCTTGGTCCCATTAAACCATCACCTGTTCTCAGATAGACGTTTCTTGAGCTGTAAAGTTGTTAATTATGAGATATAAGTTTATTAGGAAGACCGATTTGGAACATTTTTGTCGCTAATATATTGCAATCCACGTTGTCGTATGCTCCTGTAATATCTAAAAACGCTATACTGGTGGACTCCTTTTTTGAAAACCTTATTTCCGACCCTAAACTAGCTAAATTATCCTGGGTTAACGATCCTTTGCTGAAGTCGAATTGAGATTTTGGAAAGAGGTTTTTGTTTTCTAACCAATGCTCTATTCTGCCTTTTAATATTCGTTCATATGTTTTCAGCACGCAGGAAGACAACGCAATTGGGCGGTAAGAAGTAGGGTTATCGTTGGGTTTGTTTGGTTTTAATATCGGCATTACAATGTAGTCACGCCATTCTGAAGGGATAGAGGTCTTTCCTAAATAGATGTTGTTAAATATATTTAAAAGTATTTGCTTCATATGAAGAGGAAGATGAAATAACATTGAATATTGTATTTGATCCTTGCCTGGTGCGGTATTACTATTCTGTTTTATTGCTCTATTTAACTCAGTAAAGGTAAACGATCTTAACAAGATATTTGATTCATCAACATCGACTCCTAAAAAAGGAGTTTGAGGAGGTACAAATGATGGAGTTAGTTTATTAAAAAAGTTGTCCAACCACTCTGCAGAAGAATCTATTATTTTAACATTTCTTTGAGGCCTATTGATGAATTTATTTAATTGATGCCAGACTTTCTTTAATTGAACATTTTTGTTTAAAATTGAACAATAATGTCTCCAACTTTCTCTTTTCGCCTCTTTTATTATTTTTTTTGCAATTGCATCGCATCTTTTATAATACAAGATGTTCATTAAGTTGTTTTTGTAACGCTTAAACTATCTTTTCTTTTTTTAACCGCATCTTCGCATTTATCATTCCACCATGGCTTGCCATGTTTTTTACCAAGGATACTATTTTTGAACTGTGGGATAGTATCCTCTGCAGAGTGATTGATCACTTCGATATAATTTTTATAATTAACATGTTTTAAATTATTTGACAAATCTAAACATTTTGAATAAAAATTGTTCCAGTTTACTTTTTTAGTTTTCCATTTTCGACTACACTTAGTTTCAATGAACTGAGGACTAATTTGACAATTTATAATGATCGGTATATGGTTCGAGTCATAGGTGTCTTCTAAGGGGTACCACCCTAAGTTGTGAATTATTTGTGGTGAGCATATGGTAAGATCGATAGCACTGTCTCTTTGGCGATAGTTACCTATGCATGTGGGTGTACCATTATTTAGACATACTAGATTACTGTTATCAATAGATTGAAAGAATCCATTCCATTCATTAAAACTAATTTTGGTTTGAGGAGTTACATATACCGAGTATTAAAGCCCTTAAAACTAGTATATATGTTTGGTTTGAACCAGGTTTCTGAGAAAAAAGCAACATTGACTCCTGTAGTTACCAGTAAATTCTCCAAGTTACCCTTATTTGCAATAGCTGATCTACAATTCCATTGACATATTACTAAGTTATCCATTATATTATTATCCGGGAATTTTAAAAGTAATACAAACATGACGAAAAACAGTTTATCGATTAGATTTAATATGATTTTGAATTAAATTGAGTATATCGGTTTCTTGTATTTCATTTAGGTTTTTTTGTTTAACTGAATTTATTACCGCTGGAACCAAATCTACCATTTTTTTGTTTACTTCATTTTCCTCCTGTAAATGATCAGGTGGTTGATCAGCTTTATCGTTAATGTTTGAGTAATATATAGGGTTACTTAGGACACCACCTGGGGTGAGAGTAAGAGGAACTGGTGTAATTATTTCATTTCTTTGCATTTCCGTAATATCCGGGGAATTAGGTCTTATTCTTTTGATTGTAGAATTAATGATGGTGGTGAATCTATTAGGGATACGTGTAACCGATGAATTTGTTTTAGGCAATTGAATTGTTTGCAAGGTAAAGTCTGGTTGTGGATTGGCCAGAACAGAAGCGTACGTTATTTTAGGGATGAACTTTTCCGCCTCTTTGTATGAGACATTTGCTTGAGCCATATATTTCTTAATGTCTTTTTGCCGCTTAAATTCTGGACAATCCTTAATTTGACTCGTATAATGATTTCCCTTACAATGAAAACATTGGGGATTGTGATTTAAATTTGTACAAGAATCGGAACTATGGTTTTCTTTACAAATCTAACCTTGCTTCGACATTGAGCTCCCATATGCTCGAAACGAAAATAGTTGTTACGTAATATGACTCTTCGAACGTAAGGTTCAACTGTAAATCTAACATGATTGATAGCAACGTATTTCGGTAATTCTTGTGACAAAAAACTAATGATAACAGTTTTCGTGGGATTATATTTTATTTCGTTGTTTTCGACTACTTTTTTATTAATTCTTCTTACGCTTTCTACTTCAAATTTACAGTGTAAATCGGATTGTTTTATTCTATCTTTGAGGTAGTCGTTAGAATATTCTTCATGAATCCTTATCACTCCCTGTCTAAATAAAACAAATTTAGGAATATAAAAATCTAAATTGTATATTCTCATAAAACTTTTTGAAGAAATTAATTTATTTGCTGCATCGTAGGTTCTGAATGATATTCGTACCCTGTTCCTGTCAATGGATTCGATTTTTCTAATTTTATTGTCTTGCTCTGGGATTGCATTTAAGATTATTTCACCTACCTTAACCGCGTTTAATTTACCTTTAAAATCTGGAGTATTATTTTCTGCATATACTTACATGAAAAGGGCCTATATCTGATTGTTTATATGTATAATTTGGACGTTCCGTTCGTTTTTCTATTGTTATCGTTACCTGTTCAGTTGAGGATGTATTTGTAGGTGACGAGTTACCTCGCGGTTGGCCAAAATGATTAATTAAATTTTATACCACCTTGGTTTTTGCATTTAAACTTGTTCCTTTTGGGTTTGCCTCACTACTATTTTCCGAAAAATCCATGTCCATATTAATATAATTTTTATCAGGGGGGCCGCCCCCCCGGGCTGCACTCATCTGTTTTAACACTACACTATACTATTTACTAATCACTAAACTTTAACACTAATACTACACTAATATAAATTTTAGTCCATAAACTATACAGGGTGGGCCACCAGTAACGCCTCGATCGCTAGTGACCAAACGGCAAATGTTACAGAAACCTGTTTAGGTGGGTATGTGTAGGTTGATTACGGCTACATTTTAAAAATATTTTGANAACGAAATTTGTATTTTTTTCTTGAAACTGTAACAGCCAGATCAGTTGCTTGTTAAGAAGTTCCCTGTCGAACACTTACCGACAGTTGGAATTATGATACTAGCGGCATGCGCCCCATGCAGTCTGTTTATCTTAAATTTTATTTCGATGGAAGGAAACGTTACGTTGGGGCAGCAATAACGTCCAGCGTATTTCTTCGCAGTGTAGCTTTCTATTTCCCATTCGCCGTTCGGTTCCATCGCCTTCTGTGAGACGACCTCTTTGAGGAGCTTTATGTCCAACTCCTCGCCTTTTTGCACCCACGAACCCACTCGCAATGCACAAACCTGGGAGTCATAAGGGTACATACGTAGATCCGGGACGCATAAAGAGTCGATGTGCAAGGATGGGACGCATATAACAGACCCCTTGTTGGAAACTGTGCATCTGGTGGAACCTATAGCTGAAGGATTTCCACCTTGTTCTGCCCTAATCGGAATAAAAATGAAACCCGTTAAATGATAAGCAAATAAAATAAAAAATAATCGCAACTCATCGCAACCTAAGTATTTATACCCCCAGACGACAAGTATGCAATGGGAAATACGCCATCACCCTCTAGTTTCTTTTACTTGTCCAAAACCATCCTTAGAACTTAGAAAACATTCTGCATTCAATATGTTTCAATGTTAATATAAAAATTGAAACATTCTCCAAGGAAGGAAACATCTTGGATACAGTCCTGAAAACAAACCAGCCCCATGTTCGTAGGGCTCATTGCATATTTTGAGTATTCATAGACTTAGTCAACTCCTGCAAGTTTCTAATGAACACCAGAAAGCTACCTCTAAAACTCACATTCGGTGGATTCATATCACAAACGCACACCACGATTTCACAGCCTGCAGACAGAGATGCATCCTAATGACTCATCCAATACCGTGGCATATCCAGGACATACAAAAACAATATTAGTCCGACTCACTTTACATCTAAAGGCTACAGTAAATAAACAGTGGTTATTCTTTTTCCTTTTGTATCACTATCTTTTATCTTCGGACGATCTATGTAGAGTATTTAATTTTCTCTTCTAGCCTTGTAAATATTTAAAATAGCCTTCAAAAATGATTACAAGCCACCGGACCAGTAATTTTGTTTGGAAGTAATTTTATCCTTCACGTTGGCAATTAAATTTCAGTAAAATTAAAACTGTGGGTATATATGTCCGCAAATGACCCATTTTAAGTATTGCGTCAAGAGCGCGAACCTGACGCCGCCAGACCGGTCTAAAAGTTGCAAGGACAAAAAACAGACGCTGACGCAATAGGGTTCCAAGAAAGGGTTCACGGCAGATTGGCGCCAAGGACCAGATACTTATACCTGCGAGAGACTCCACACCACGAAGACTCTCCAGCGAACGCTCGCTCCGACAATACTTATTTTTCACTAACTTTATTTTCAATAAAAATACTTTTATTTTACCGTTGAGAGAGTTTTATTTTGCTACATACCGCAAGCAACCCTCAAAACGATAAGATTAAGATTACATTAAAATACAACATTCTGTTTCACCGGCTGGTGATTGGTGTAATTTTTCACGAGATTCTATTCAGCCAATCAGCAATCCTATTATCTCGATCGTAGACTTACCGATTTGTCAGTGTACGTTGTGAACGAATCATTAATATTTTAGGGATTTTTCGTCACCAGTACCAGCCGTGCAATATTGTTGTCTGCGGTCACGTGGCTTGTAAACATTTATGAAGGGTATGTATGTGTATATAAACCAAATGTGACTATAAACTTTCAAAGTGTTAAAATGTTCGGGTGCAACCGCTGGGCGCAGGGGTGTTCTGATCGGAGTAATTTTTATGTTATTATGTAGGTGGGACTTTTCTGCGTCGAATAGAAGTAGTATGGGCATTCCACAATTATGAGGTGGCCATGGAGAGAAAAATGATGGGAACCACTACATTTTGGTTATTTTTATAAGACTACCGATGTTTAAGAAAGCTATAAGTGAACCTATCTTGAAAAGTAAGTTTTCTACGGCACATTGTATAAGAGATGATTTTGTATCAGCGGCAAATTAATATTTGGCTTTCAAGCCAAAAGCGCAAATTTGTATCAATTGAGGTAGATAGTGGAAATATATACAGAGGGTATCCTTTATTGTACTATCATTTAATTTTTGTCGAAATTGACATTAATCCTTTTACGCTAAAAATAGTAAAATGGTTTAAAAGGCACTTTTTAATTTATTTAATATAGGTATTTATTTATTTTTATATGGTACACCCTAAGTTTTTTCCTTATGTTTAGAATAAAAAACAGCAAATCTAATAAAGAACTCTATTTCCACTTTTATGAGGAGCCACAATCCATCTTCAGACTACCTATCTATTAAAAAAAATCATCCGTAGGTAATACAAATAGTATACAGGGTGGTTCGTAAGTAATGGTCCATAGAGACATACTAGATTTTTTACTTCAAAATATTACGATTGGAGCCAATATGCCTTAATAAAATGTTGATAACAAAAAAGATACAGGGTGTCAAAGTTGGAAATTAAAAATTGAATTTTCGTAATAATTATAATATTTTTGAGTGTATGAACGTGAAAATTTAGGGGTAGATGTTT